CTTTGCAGATATGTTGGTGTCATTTTCCTCTTGACCCTGAGGGCCGCTGTTGTGTGGCTGTCAGGGATCTGAGCAGAGAGGTACTTTATGAATGGAGTTTTGAACCTAAATGAATGAGGCTTGAGGAAGCCCATATTAATGGGTAAAAGGGGGCAGGGGCAGCGGGAATCCCTCTTTGCTCCGGTGGGGTGGGGTGCTTCAGTGATGTTGGTGGCTTGCCTGCCCCGGGCACTGGCAACCTACGCTATGCCACCATCTCCCAACCTTACACAGAGATGCTGGGCCAGCTCTGGATTTAGAGCGGAATAGGGTGTTGAGCTGCTGAGAGGGTGCAAAATAATAAAAAATACAAGAACTATTATTAAATATGAAGTCAAATGGGCCTTAGAAAGCACTGCAAATAACAAGGCCAGTGGAAGTGATGGTATTCCAGCTGAACTATTTAAAATTTTAAAAGATGATGCTGTTAAGGTGCTACACTCAATATGCCAGCAAATTTGGAAAACTCAGCAGTGGCCAGAAGATTGGAGAAGATCAGTCTACATCCCAATCCCAAAGAAGGGCAGTGCCAAAGAATGCTCCAACTACCGCACAATTGCACTCATTTCACACACTAGCAAGGTTATGCTTAAAATTCTACAAGGAAGGCTCAAGCAGTATGTGGATCGAGAACTCCCAGAAGTGCAAGCTGGATTTAGAAGAGGCAGAGGAACCAGAGACCAAATTGCAAACATGTGCTGGATTATGGAGAAAGCTAGAGAGTTCCAGAAAGACATCTACTTCTGCTTCATTGACTATGCAAAAGCCTTTGACTGTGTCGACCACAGCAAACTATGGCAAGTTCTTAAAGAAATGGGAGTGCCTGATCACCTCATCTGTCTCCTGAGAAATCTCTATGTGGGACAAGAAGCTACAGTTAGAACTGGATATGGAACAACTGATTGGTTCAAAATTGGGAAAGGAGTACGACAAGGCTGTATTTTGTCTCCCTGCTTATTTAATTTACATGCAGAATACATCATGCGAAAGGCTGGGCTGGATGAATCCCAAGCTGGAATTAAGATTGCCAGAAGAAATATCAACAACCTCAGATATGCAGATGACACAACCTTGATGGCAGAAAGTGAGGAGGAATTAAAGAACCTTTTAATGAGGGTGAAAGAGGAGAGTGCAAAATATGGTCTGAAGCTCAACATCAAAAAAACGAAGATCATGGCCACTGGTCCCATCACCTCCTGGCAAATAGAAGGGGAAGAAATGGAGGCAGTGAGAGATTTTACTTTCTTGGGCTCCATGATCACTGCAGATGGTGACAGCAGCCACGAAATTAAAAGACGCCTCCTTCTTGGGAGAAGGGCAATGACAGGCCTAGACAGCATCTTGAGAAGTAGAGACGTCACCTTGCCAACAAAGGTCCGTATAGTTAAAGCCATGGTTTTCCCAGTAGTGATGTATGGAAGTGAGAGCTGGACCATAAAGAAGGCTGATCGCCGAAGAATTGATGCTTTTGAATTATGGTGCTGGAGAAGACTCTTGAGAGTCCCATGGACTGCAAGAAGATCAAACGCATCCATTCTTAAGGAAATCAGCCCTGAGTGCTCACTGGAAGGACAGATCGTGAAGCTGAGGCTCCAGTACTTTGGCCACCTCATGAGAAGAGAAGACTCCCTGGAGAAGACACTGATGCTGGGAAAGATGGAGGGCACAAGGAGAAGGGGGCGACAGAGGGTGAGATGGTTGGATAGTGTTTTCGAGGTTACCAGCATGAGTCTGACCAAACTGCGGGAAGTAGTGGAGGACAGAGGTGCCTGGCATGCTCTGGTCCATGGGGTCACGAAGAGTCGGACACGACTAAACGACTAAACAACAACAACAACAATTATTAAATAAGAAATAGCATCTCTCCCCACCTGGTGATTTACAGGCTGCGCCCTCGATGGCAGGGGCCCACCAGAGCGTCTGCAGACCAGGGTCCGGTGTCGAAAGAAGCTGGTTGCTACTTTGAATAAACATTCACAAACTTTTTATTGATAATAATCAGCTAAATAGTTTGAGGATCTATACAACTTTGTAACATGCAGAAAACAGCATTCTCAGAGAAACCAAAGACTGGAACTGAGGGAAGGTGGGGGGGTGGGTTTTGTGTGGGAGGGTGGGGGGAGGGAGGAAAAGCAGGGGGGGAAATAAGGGTGATATATTTTTGGATAATATGTATTGTTTTAATTTTGAATAAAAATATTAAAAAGAAAGAAAGAAGCTGGTTGCTGCTTCTGTTGCTAATATAGTGGTACCTCTGGTTACATACGCTTCAGGTTACATACGCTTCAGGTTACAGACTCTGCTAACCCAGAAATAGTGCTTCAGGTTAAGAACTTTGCTTCAGATGAGAACAGGAATTGTGCTCTGGCAGCACAGCAGCAGCAGGAGGCCCCATTGGCTAAAGTGGTGCTTCAGGTTAAGAACAGTTTCAGGTTAAGAACAGACCTCCGGAACGAATTAAGTACTTAACCTGAGGTACCACTGTATTGCAGGGGACCTGAGGATGGGGCCTGCAGAGCATTCCGGGACTAGTGGGTGACGCCTGTAGCTGCGTCTGCAGGTGGAGCCGGGCCGGAGTTTCTGCCTGCTTGTGGCGTTGAGAAAAGGAACAGGAGGGGGCCACTCCACTGTGAGAAGGAGACCCCACAGCTCCTCAGCCCATAGCTGTCTACCTTCCCTTTTTTTGCGGGAGATTCCCTTATTCCAGCGCCGTTTCCCGCTGCTATCCCAGATTGTTAGATATCCCGTAGACACCCCGGGACAGGTGAAGCTGCTGATCCCTTATTTTCAAGGCTGCTGATCCCTTATTTTCAAATCTGAAAGTTGACAGCTATGCCTCAGCCTGGCAGGGAGCAGAGCACTGGCTGGGGCACTCATTTTGGGTGTCCCTGCATCCACCAAATTCAGCTGGAGAGCTAAGTCTGGAAAAACTGATGTATTTAGAAATAAAAATCCCAGAAGCGTCCCTGGCATGAAAAACAACCCTGTTAACAACTCTTGGGCTGCAGCCTTTTCAAGGTCTCCCTCAAGGCAACTTTGCCCGCAGGATTTCCCCCACGCTCAAGCCTCGCTCCCGGAGCCAACCAATCGCAGCGCGCCCCGCCAGCCACGAGCCCGGTCTCTAAGCTGCCAGACGCTCCGAAGGCCGCCTTCGCCCATCAAGGGCGCGCTTACACCTGCCGGGCTCCGACGGCACTGCGCAGGTGCAACACACAGCTGGGACCCAACCCTGCCTAGGAAAACGTCGCCTTCGGTCAGGGGGCGTGGCTTACCCAGGCCGAACCTTGAAGAGGCCCCGCCCCCGCCGCCAGTGTTAGTTTGGTTCCTGCTCGCCACGTGCGTCTTCGCTCCTGTTTTTTCGACGGCGCGCCCGCAGAGGCAAGGCAAGAGCTCCGCGGCGGAAGGGAAGAAAGGAGCGGGACAGGGGCTTCTTTGCCTTCCCACCCCTACACCTCCAAGCAGTGGGGAGGAGAGGGCGGTGGGCGTCCTGGGCGCTGCAGTAAGCGCGGGAGAAGCGGGCGGCATCTGCTCAGGTGGGCGGTCTGCTGCCTGCAAGCGAAGCCTGGAGACGGGAGAGGAAATGTGGGAACCATCGGAGCTTTATTGGTGGGCAGATCCACACCTGCCCCCAGACGGTTGTCAAAGGGGGGCGGCCAGGGTGCATTTTTGGGGGGTGAACGGGTCCCTCCGCACCCGTTTCTCTCCCCCCCCCTTCAGTAGAGTACGCAGGTGGCCTGGGACGGGGCGCGTCTCTCGGGCGCCTCCCCAAAGTGCGCTTTTTTGCTCCGCTTTCCCCGGCGTTATTCTGGGGCGGAGGCGCCTGCCGTGCCTTCCTGGGAGGCAGCATGGGCGCGGTGGCTTCCCCTGCTCCCCCGGCCTTGGCCCCAGCTCGTGAGCCCCCGCGACCGCCTCGTGGGTTTCCTAACCCCGGGGCGCGTCTTAGTTTGGGCCAGGAATTCTGTTTGATTTCCAAAACGCAAACGCGAAGTGGCCAGTCCCAACAGCCGCGGGCTGTTTCTTCCGACTTTCCCTCCGCGTCTCTATTCCGGAGTGTGCCCTCGACGGGTCTGTAGCCAGCATGCTCGCCCCCTCCCCCGTTAGATTTCCGATATGCACCAACCCCGGGTGTGGGGCATAGGAATTTGTCCATCCCCCCACCCCAATATAGTCCGGTCTGAGGGACAGTGGACCAGCCCCCTGCTGGAAAAGTTTGCTGACTCCTACGTTAACTGATCTACTTCCTTACACCCAGTGACCAGCCAGCAAGTACTGACTTAACGTTTTTGCTCACCTTTGGAATATTTGGCTAATTTTGGGCTGGCTGACACAGATTTTAGCAAGGCTGATGATGATTCAGCACCAAAGAATATGAAATACAAAGTTGAGTTAGCAATCATTTTATAAATTGGTACTTCTCCTAACAGGGAAACTTTCAGAAACTGAATGAAAACAACGTCTGGTTTTGTTTTAATTGAAAATCATTCTGTTAAAATTATATACACCAGTTCACCTGCCTCTGAAAGGACATCAGTACCAGGGGAGCCTACCTGGGATTTGTGGGGTGCCAGGAAATAGCTTGTGCATACCTGACACAATACAGTGGTACCTCGGGTTAAGAACTTAATTCATTCTGGAGGTCTGTTCTTAACCTGAAAGTATTCTTAACCTGAGAACTTTAGCTAATGGGGCTTCCGACTGCCACCGAGCTGCTGCCGTGTGATTTCTGTTCTCATCCTGAGGTAAAGTTCTTAACCCGAGGTACTATTTCTGGGTTAGCGGAGTCTGTAACCTGAAGCGTCTGTAACCCGAGGTACCACTGTAATCAAGAAAGCAAAGAGTCCTTGGCAGGATCTTAACAGATCAGTCGTGGTGTTTACAGTTTTGACTTGAAAACCTACCTTGCAAAAAGGCCTAGCTTTCCCCTCTCACCCTTCTCTCATTCTTCTGTCTCCAGCAGCTCCATGCCCAAGAGGAGGACGGTCCGCTCGCTGGAATGGCTGTGCCTGGAGAATGTGGCTAAAAATATCCAGCGCATCTGGGCCAAAGCTTGTGCAGAAAACCACCAGGATGGACACCTCGTTCGCTCTGTTGCAGAGCCCTACATCTGCCTGCGTAAGAGGGGCATGGCACATGGGAGGCAGAGGAGAGACCGGCCACAAAGACCCCATGGCCAAGCCACAGATTGCATTTCAAAAAGGCAATCGGGCGAATTATGGGGGGGGGCATCTTGGCACTGTAGCCTTTTGCAATTTGCATCTCTGAGGCTTGTAGCATCTTATGCAGGTAGTCCAGTAAAAACTGGTTCTGACGCTCACCTGGCTAGAAAAGCTGCCTAGGTAGGAAGGCTCCATCTCTTAAGGCAGAGCTGGGGAGCTGGTGGCCGTCCAGCTGCTGTTGGACTCCAATTGCCATGGGCCCCAGCAAGCACGGCCTGTAGTCAGAGATGATGGGAGTTGTGGTCCAGAGCAAAGTTCCCCAGGAGGCGGGCAGGTGTGGAGGACTCCCTGATCCGGAATGGGGTAACTGTGCCCCTGAAGGACCAGGTGTGCAGCCTGGGAGTCATTTTGGACCCACAGCTGCCCATGGAGGGGCAGGTCAATTCTGTGTCCAGGGCAGCTGTCTACCAGCTCCTTTTGGTACGCAGGCTGAGACCCTACCTGCCTGCGGACTGTCTTGCCAGAGTGGTGCATGCTCTGGTTATCTCTCGCTTGGACTACTGCAATGCGCTCTATGTGCGCTACCTTTGAAGGTAAACCGGAAACTACAACTAATCCAGATTGCAGCAGCTAGACTGGTGACTGGGAGTGGCCACCGAGACCACATAACACCAGTCTTGAAAGACCTGCATTGACTCCCAGTATGTTTCCGAGCACAATTCAAAGTGTTGGTGCTGACATTAAAAGCCCTAAACTGCCTCGGTCCAGTATACCTGAAGGAGCGTCTCCACCCCCATCATTCAGCCCAGACACTGAGGTCCAGGGCCTTCTGGTGGTTCCCTCCTTCTGAGAAGTGAGGTTGCAGGAAACCAGCCAGAGGTGCCCGCCCATCAGATGTGAAGGAAATAAGCAGCTATCTTATCTTTAAAAGACATCTGAAGGCAGCCCTGTTTAGGGAAGCCTTTAATGTTTGACGGACTATTGTATTTTAACATTTTGTTGGAAGCCGCCCAGAGTGGGTGGGGAAACCCAGCCAGATGGGCGGGGTATAAATGATAAAATTATTATTATTATTATTATTATTATTATTATTATTATTATTATTATTATTATTATTCTAGTCCTGCTCTTAGCAGCACCTTTTCCTATGCAGTTTCCTGTTCTGGTAGATCACTTGGCTACCCAGATTTTAAAAGCTAAGCAAAATCTGGCAAAGTCTTTGCCAGGGAGCATGTCAGTGACTGGCTGGCTAATAATAAAAATTATTATTATTATTATTATTATTATTATTATTATTATTATTAATAATACCCTGCCCATCTGGCTGGGTTTCCCCAGCCACTCTGGGCGGCTTCCAACCAAATATTAAAAATACGTTAAAACATTAGTCATTACAAACTTCCCTAAACAGAGCTGCCTTCAAATGTCTTCTAAAAATCGGATAGTTGTTTGTTTCCTTGACATCTGGTGGGAGGGCGTTCCACAGGGCGGGTGCCACTACCGAGAAGGCCCTCTGCCTGGTTCCCTATAGCCAGGGGAACTTTCCCTGTTACCCTCTGCACCTTCTGGTTTGCTTCTAGCTCCTAATCACCTGAGGAAAGCATGTGTCTAATTGTTGTGCAAAGCTTTGTGTTTATATCTGGGTATTTCCTCCCCACCCAGCTGACTCCCTTGTCCAGAAGCTGTTCAAGTTAATGGAGGAAGGCAATCGCTTGAACCGACCGGTCCTGCGCTTCCTCCTGGTGCCGCAGCTGACGGTGCTGAGCTTGAACATGTGCCCGAGGCTGGTCATCAAGGCCGTTGCCGACATCATCGCAGTGCGTTGCAAGGTAAGGGGTGTGCATGCTTTGTGTTCTGACTTGGTTCCTGGGGGGAGCTCCTTCCTCTAAAATGGGGACTCCTCTCTTGCTGCCTCCTGGCCTGTGTGTGCGGGGCTCTTCCTGGATTCTTAGCTTGAGCTGTGTGCTTGAGACACCTGTGGATCTGCCCTGCGGGAGTCTTGCTCACACCTGCACCTGCGCTTTGCTGCTGGCGGCTTAGCTCACTTGATACGCCTTCGTTTATCCCATGTTTACAACAAGCACAGGGCTCTTAACGTGGAGGAATGGCACTCGAAGAAGCAATGGTTTGCGGAAACTTTATATGCAGAGTTCCTTACTGGTCCCTGCAGTGAAAGAGAAATTTGGGGGTGTCCTCTTTCCATGGTTGGCCTGGTCTCAACTTCACTCCTTTTTAAGAAAGTCTAAACAGGTAACAACACAGCAATCGACTCAGTTCAAGTTCTTGCCGAAGGATGAAGCACCCTTTCCAAGCGGCCTGGTTTCCACTATTTGTCAATTAGTTCTCTCTATTTTGAGAGAAGTGGTTTGAGGATGGGTGGTGGTTAACAGATTGAGGTTGAATCCTGACAAGACAGAAGTACTGTTTTTTGGGTGGACAGGGGGCGGGCAGGTGAGGGGGAGACTCTGGTCCTGAATGGGGCAACTGTGCTCCTGAAAGACCAGGTGCACAGCCTGGGAGTCATTTTGGACTTGCAGCTGCCCACGGAGGCGCAGGTCAAGTCTGTGTCCAGGGCAACTGTTTACCAGCTCCATCTGGTACGCAGGCTGAGACCCTACCTGCCCACGGATTGTCTCGCCAGAGTGGTGCATGCTCTAGTTATCTCCCGCTTGGATACTGCAATGCGCTCTATGTGGGGCTACCTTTGAAGGTGACCCAGAAACGACAACTAACCCAGAATGCGGCAGCTAGACTGGTGACTGGGAGCAGCCGCTGAGACCATGTAACTCCGGTCTTGAGAGACCTGCATTGGCTCCCAGTACATTTCTGAGCACAATTCAAAGTGTTGGTGCTGACCTTAAAAGCCCCAAACGGCCTCGGTCCTGTATACCTGAAGGAGCGTCTCCACCCCCAACGTTCAGCCCGGACACTGAGATCCAGCTCCGAGGGCCTTCTGGCGGTTCCCTCATTGTGAGAAGTGAGGTTACAGGGAACCAGACAGAGGGCCTTCTCGGTAGTGGTGCCCACCCTGTGGAACGCCCTCCCTTCAGATGTGAAGGAAATAAGTAGCTATCCTATCTTTAAAAGACATCTGAAGGCAGCCCTGTTCAGGGAAGTTTTTAATATTTAACACTGTAAAGTTTTTAATACTTGATTGGGAGCCACCCAGAGTGGCTGGGGAGACTCAGCCAGATGGGCGGGGTATAAATAATAAATTATTATTATTATTATTATTATTATTATTATTATTATTATTTATTTATTTATTTATTTACAACGACTTCTGCCAACTTGGTGCTGCCCCATACGCCTTCTGCGCTGGCTGCGGCTGATGGGATTTGTAGTCCAGCGAATCTGGAGGTCTGCAAACGCTGTTGTACGTGAGCAAAAACAAACCTTTCCCTTTCTCTTTCCCTGACACGGCAGAACCTGTCCTCCCTGGATATCAGAGGCTGCTGCCGGATCCCCGCAGACTCCCTCGTCGACCTGGTGAAAGCTTTGCCGAGCCTCGCCCAACTCAACCTGTCGGACACCCAGTGCAACGCCCAGGTGCTTGCTGCCGTGGGCTCCCACTGCCGGCAGCTTCTTGAACTGGATGTTGTCGATTGCAGCAGGCTTTCTCCAGAGTGCCTCCTCCACTTGGCCTACGACCCTGCCACGGGCTCGCTCCGCTCCCCGGCCTTGAAGGTGCTCAGAGCCAGATACCTGATGGGTAGACCTCTCCTCCAATGCATGGTTCAGCACTTGGTCTTTCTGCTCCTGGCCTTGCGCAGCCTGACGATCTTGGACCACCCTTTTGTTCTGGAGGCCGTGTGCGCGATCTACAGGCGGCAGTTTGACAACGTCCCAGTCGCTCCCGAGTTCCCCTCGCTGGAGGAGCTGGCGAGACGCAGGATGTCCACCCATAACGGCCACGGGCTCACGCTGACCCTCACAGAATTGGACGATGTGGCACTGAGCTGCCTGCCCGCCGCTTTAGCCGTGTGCCCGCACTTGGCTGACGTGACTCTGATTCTCGAAGGCAACCCTGGCTTTGGCCAGGACTTTGCACCGTGGCGCCACATCTCCTGCCTGACCCTTGACAACGACAGCCAGTGCGATGTTGCTGATCTTCTGCCGATGGCAGCCGCCCTCGGACCACAGCTCCACTCTCTTTCATTGAGTGGCTTTCTCTGCGAAGATGCCTCTTCCTTCTGGACCTTCCTGGGCCACTGCCTGAACCTCCGGAAATTGGTGGCTAACCTCCCTCCTCCAGCAGTGTGTGCCCCTGACGGCGACGACGACGATGACGACGAGGAAATGATTGAAGACTTGGAGGAAAATTTCAGCCCCGTGCCTCATCAATTCCCCCACCTCCGGTACATTTTCCTGATGTACCCTGACTCAGAAGGCCCCCTTCCTTCCCAGCACAAAGCCGTTTTCAGAGCATGCCTTGTGTCCCTGCTGAGACATTCGCCGCAACTCGAAAGCTTGCTGCTGGCTTGCCTGCCTTTCTCCCTGGACAGCGTGTTTGAGCAGGTGCTGGAGCCGCCGGCCACAGCCCTGACTCACCTCCAGAAGCTCTCCTTGATGGAAACCAGGGTGTCCGGAAGCACCATCCACCTGCTGTTGTCCTCGGAAAACCAGCTGAGCTTCATCGATGTGCCGGCTTGCTCACGCATCTTCAGGGCAGACTATGACGAATTCCTCAGGAGAGTCAGGAGTGAGGGTTTCGACATGGAGATTTCCTGGGAGTGAAAAGCCTGCTATTTCTGCTGTTGCTGAAGACGGCTGCTCCTCTTGTGTTGGGGCCAAGACAGGGTCTCTCTTAATAAAGTTTGCTTTATCTAATAGTTTTTCCGCCTCTCAGCGATCTTGAAACCCAGAGTGGGATGGTCAAGTGTCTTTATGTCTGAGTTGGGGCAGAGGGGGGCATTTTATGCTGGGCTGGTAGTAGCAGCTCCCCCCTGAGACTCATGGGCATGGAAAGAGCCCTCCATGTATATAAAAAAAATAGTTTAAAGGCCTATCTAATCCAGTACAGCGGTACCTTGGTTCTCAAACTTAATCCGTTCCAGAAGTCCGTTCCAAAACCAAAGCGTTCCAAAACCAAGGCGCGCTTTCTCACAGAAAGAATGGATTAATCCGTTCCAGACTTTCAAAAACTACCCCTAAAACAGCAATTTAACATGAATTTTACTATCTAACGAGACCATTGAGCCATGAAATGAAAGCAATAATCAATGTACCCCACTATAAAATAAATAAGACACTATTGTAGATAGTAAAAATTAGAATTATTATTTTTTCTGACCTGCATTGATGATTGTCATTGTTTCGGTGGGGGGCTTTTATCCATTTCTGCAGGCACACAAATTAACTGAAAAAGCCTCAAAAGTAAAAACTCAAAATAGCAAAAACAAAAGTGCCAAACTTAATCCGTTCCAGAAGTCTGTTTGACTTCCGAAATGTTTGAAAACCAAGGTGCAGCTTCTGATTGGTGCAGGCGCCCCGGGAACAATAGCCGACAGCCACATTGGGCATTCGGCTTCCAAAAAACGTTTAAAAACGGGAACACTTACTTCCAGGTTTTTGGCGTTTGGGAACCAAGGCGTTTGAGAACCAAGGTACCACTGTATCCTGTTTCACAGTGGCTGATGCCCAGTTATTCTGCATCAGGCCTCTCATCCTACAGATGGCATAAAGCCATTATGCCTAGGATCATATATAGATTGCTCCATGGATTGGACTGATTGACTTTCTAAGAAGAAAAACCCATCTAAGCCACTGCCCGTTGCCACAACTATGAGAATCCCACTTCTCTCTTCTGAATTGTCCCCTATATGGCATTATTGGATGATTGAAGTTATAGCATTTATACAATCTCTTTGGTGTCTCTGTCCAGTTTTTCCACATCACCCAGAATTCCATAAAATTCTGTTACAGCTGAATGCCAGCACGGGTTCTTAAGTAGACAGCCCATAATAGTAAGCAAGCCTGGAAACTTTTAACAACAGAAATTGGTGTGTGAGTGCATGTGTTCATACTCCTTTGGGAAGAAAGGTGGGCTTGAAATTTAATTGCAAAGAAAAAGGCATGTATTGAGTGGATAAATAAACTACCAGTGATCAAAATGCCCCAGGAGAAGACATACAGGGAGAGGCTGCAGTTCAGAGGAATAATTTTGCATACTTTGCATGGAGAAGTTCCTTAATTAAGTTCCTTAATTCGGTATCACCAGGTGGAAGGAATCCCTGCCTGAAACCCACTACCAGATGATCCTCACTTTCTGTGCTGCTGCTTGATGGAATATATATATATATTTTACACGTACACAGAGACTGGAGGGGAAAGGTTTCCAGACTAGAGGCTTTATATCGGAGGCTTTTGTGTCATTAACAGTAAGCTTAATGATCATTATATGCTTCTATAGATGCAGAGAGAACATCTTTCCAGGGAGGAAGGTCTAATCCAGTGTTTGGGCCTCCTTCTGTTTTTGAACTACAATTCCCATCATCCTTGACCACTGTCCCTGCTAGCCAGGGATGATGGGAGTTGTAGTCCAAAAACAGCTGGAGGCCCAAGTTTGGGAAAAACTGGATCTGCATCTTTCCTTAACAAGTTCTTCAGAGATAAAAGAAATCGGAGCTGCTGTGATTTCACACATGGGGAATTTCTCTTCATTCCTTTTGATGGCCTGATCTGCTTCCAGCTTCTTGTCACATTCTTTCATTTCCTGGCTACTTTTCGACAAAGTGTTTTCTTCTTCAACTAATTTCCTCTCCCACAGGGGCGTTCCAGGGAAATACCTACAGTGGTACCTCAGGTTAAGTACTTAATTCATTCTGGAGGTCCATTCTTAACCTGAAACTGTTCTTAACCTGAACCACCACATTAGCTAATGGGGCCTCCTGCTGCTGCCGCGCAGCCGGAGCCCGATTTCTGTTCTCATCCTGAAGCAAAGTTCTTAACCTGAGGTACTAAGTTCTTAACCTGAAGCGTCTGTAACCCGAGGTACCACTGTAAAAGCACCCCATTTCCCACTATTCAGGAATCCTGGTTTTGCACTCCAGCCCACAGCAACACCCCTGACTCCAAGCCCAGGCCTCTTCCTCTCTCAGTGTACATCATTAAACATTAAAAAACTTCCCTAAACAGGGCTGCCTTCAGATGTCTTTTAAAAGTAGGATAGTTGCTTACAATGGTACCTCAGGTTAAGTACTTAATTCATTCTGGAGGTCCGTACTTAACCTGAAAACTGTTCTTAACCTGAAGCACTATTTCTGGGTTAGCGGAGTCTGTAACCTGAAGCGTATGTAACCTGAAGTGTATGTAACCCGAGGTACCACTGTATTTTAAAAGGAATTAAGGCACACAGCTACCACTTCCTGACTGCAGCTCTAATGATTATGCCCATCTGAAGCATGGTGGAAATAAACGCAACGATTGTAGCATGCCAAACAGACTTCATTTTAAAGGTTTTTATTTCAGTTCAGTGCTTTCAAATAGCCTCTTCAACAAAAACATATATAAAAAAGGAAAAGATGAATCTTGTGTGTAAGAGTTCCTCTTTCTATCAGGGTTTCTATGACTAAAAGCTTCCTATTAGCCACAATTTGATAGCTGCGGGAATGCAATTCAATGCATAATTGCACCACACGCAATGAAAAACTGAGCTGCTGCTTGGTTTTCTTGCCTTGCAGGTTTTGAAAAGTCGATGAGAAGCCTGTGGATCTCCAGATTTTGCTGGACTACAGCTCCCATCACCCCTGATAATTGGCCATGTTAGCTGGGGTTGATGGGAGGTAGATTCCAATGACATATGAAGGTCCACAGAACCTGGGTTAAAAGGCCAGTAATAAAATAATGAGGAAGAGAGGGCATGACGAATCAAAATGCAGCAATGGGAAAGGAGGCTCTAATCCTGTTTACTCATTTTTTATGCTGTGGGTATATACCGTATTTTTCGTCCTATAAGGTGCACCGGCCCATAGGACGCACCTAGTTTTTTGGGGGGGAAATAAAAAAAATATATTATTTTCCCCCCACCAGCCGCGGGGCGGGGGAAGCCCGAACTTCCACCGACCCCAGGCCCCAGAACACGCTGCCACCCGTAAGCCTTGCGAGCCCTGCGGGACCTCCTGCCGGGCGCGCAAGGCTTGCAGACATCTGCCCGAAGCACGGGGCGTGCTCCGCAGCGCGCCCGGTACTTCAGGCTGCAGGCTGCTGCCCGCAAGCCTTGGGAGCCCGGCTGGCACTCCTGCGGGCTCCCAAGGCTTGCGGATAGCTTCCTGAAGCCTGGAGAGCGACGCCTCTAGCTCTCCAGGCTTCAGCGGAAGCCTGCATTCGCCCCATAGGACGCACACACATTTCCCCTTCATTTTTGGAGGGGGAAAAGTGCGTCCTGTAGGGCGAAAACTACAGTACTTCCACTTTTGCCCCACTGATGAAATATACTAAGGGCCAATTAGGCATGTGGTTATCTCCTCATGTGCTTGACATTTGTTTACTAAATGTGAAGGGGGCTATCCAAACTGGAAAAAGTGCTGTGTGTTGCTTTGCCCCTGCCGAAGCTCCAGTCTGGATTTGCCGTCCACATGCTGGCTTATTTTTTTAGTAAATAACCGCCAAAGGCCAATAGCATCCTTAATGCCACGCCTCGCTTGACTAAAATCGGCAGGGCTGAGAACTGGATGTGCTAAAAATTTATCAGGCTGCGCCTCCTTGCCTAGGCCTAGAGGAGAAAGCGCCCACATTTTTCAAGAGTTGCGGAAATGGATCCTTGAGATTCAACATTTCAGCTTGCCTCCCTACTTCAGGTGGAAAAACGGGCAGATCCTCTCCCCAGAGAAGGAAGCTGAGGGGAAAGCGAAGATCGAGTTGTTGGTGTCGCCATCAAAAAACTCCACGAGGCCCTCTTCATAGTGTAGGGATACTCGGATCTTCCTGAGTTCGCTTCTGGCGTACACGACGGTCAGCTTAGGGGAAGTCGAAGCTGAGAGCTGCCAATCGGAGAATGACCCAAAAGTGTCCACCATGGTCTTCTGCAGAGCCCAGAACCCCTCGCTAGGGTTAAGGGTGATGTCCCCCTTCCTCCTGACAGACTCTCGTGCCACACTAACCGCCCACTCGGCCCATTCCCCTCCGACCTCCACTTCCCACCAATGCCGCCCAGAAGTGAATCTCTTGCGGCCCAGGACAAACATCTCCTTGTCGAATCTCTCGGAGTTGTCGGGCAGGTCCTGGCGCCTGTCTCCCCATTGGACGCACTTCAGATCCTCGGACAGGATGAGGTTGGGGTGTGCCGTGTCTGGGTACAAAGTCACATTCACTGTGCAGGGCAGAGAGAGAGAGAATTGCATGGGTCAAGGAAAAGGACCAGCCTCTCGGCTGCCGGACCACAACTCTCCAAACCTCATTTTGGCCAGGCTTCAGGAGGGCCAGTAAACTTCACCCCACCCCACCCCAGCACCCCAAGAATGAAGGAGAAACATGCATGTTGTGTGGGAGGCTTCGCTTGGGCTTGCCTCTGGTGGCATCCCTAAAGCATAGCTGTCAACCGTCCCTTATTTGGCGGGAAAGTCCCTTATCCCAACGCTGTGTCCCACTGCTGTCCCTTATTGATGATGTCCCTTAAATTTCCCGGGTTTCAAAGGAAGCAGCTCCTCTCCCTCCCTCCCTCCCTGCCGGCCAGGGATGAGGGAGGCGCCAACTGTGTTGCTTGGCTGCATTGCTCACCCAATAAGGAGTCTAAGAACGACTGGGGGGTGGAGCTTGCATGCCTTGTGCCAATCAAATCAGCCGCGTTGCCTGGGGACTCGCCTTTGCTCAGCGCTTCCCAGCGGAGAGGTGACGGTGGTTTTCCTTGCTGCATCCCCTTTGCCGGGTTGCTGCGCTGTGGGAACCACTGCTTGAGGCTTTGTTTGGCTGCTGGCTGGGCTTTCTGCCTTTGGCTTGGAGGGGCTCAGAAGTTGAACATACCTGTGCTTGGAAAATCCCTTATTTTCGCTGCTGATCCCTTATTTTCGAGGCTGCTGGTCCCTTATTTTCAAATCTGTAAGTTGACAGCTATGCCCTAAAGGTGTTTGTTAGGTTTTGGAAGGAAACCCTCTGAGTGGTTGAGGTAGGAAAACGTCATCTCTGCCCTCAGAGGCTTGTGGCTGAGAGTGGTGTGGGAAGCAGAGCTCGCGTCCAGATGTAAAGCCCAGGGGTAGATAGCAGAAAGTTTGGGGAAATCCAACCCAGGTCCCCCCACCATTTTTGGAAACTAAAGTCAACCCCTCTGCTCCTGAGAAATATAGGGGGGAAACTGGGTTCCCCCTCATTTTCTTTTTTCCCTCCCCCCTGGGCCTTCACGTCTCTAATCTTTTTGCTATGTATATTAAACAACGTTATATTGAAGAAATTGGGTGTCTGCTAGTTGACGTTAAGGGAGCTGGGTGTCAGAAAGGGCCTTCTCTGCAGTAGCACCCCACCTCTGGAAGGACTGCCCCTCAGAGGTGTGTCTTGCACCAATACTGCTGATTTTCATTGGTCAACAAAAATGCACTTGTTTGCCAGGCCTTAAGAAGTAGGTAAGAACCAGTAGAATTGAAACAAACCTCATGACAGGAAAATACAAAGAAATTTACTGAATAATAAAAACAACAAGAAATAAAAATATATTATGACTAATATAATGGACAGTATTTGTAAATGAATATAGATAGACAATGAGAACTTTATATATAGGAAGATTATTTGTTTACAGAAATTTTACAGACAAGAATGGAAGAACAACTACATACAAAATGGATAAAGACAATGCGAAAAGTTTGAGGGACATAAAGAAGCTGGAAGAAGGAAGGAGGGAAGTCAGCTCTCAAGAGCAAGTGTAAATGTAAAGTGTAATATATTATGTGTATGTATAGTATGTAACTAAAAAACTAATAAAGATCATTATATATATATATATATATATATAAAGAAGTAGGTAAGAACTGAGCACTGTCATGAGCATCTCAGTTTAAAACTGTTTGTCTAGTGATCGTTTTAAAAAAGGATGTTTTAAGATTTTCCACAATGTTTATGTGGTTATTGTTTTACAACTTGGTTTGTTGCTTTGTTGTTAATGCTTATTTAAACCAGCCTTCACCCATTGTTATGCACACATCATCCTAATAATTTTCTCTCTCTTTCTTAGTTCAGTTGTCCTGGACTCCTGGCTGAGGGAAAGAGATAAATTAACTACTCTTTCATTTTTCGAGAATAGAGTCTGTTGATCTATCTGCATAATAAAACCCCATTAAGTGCTTGAAAGGGACTCGGGTGGCGCTGTGGGTTAAACCACAGAGCCTAGGACTTGCCGATCAGAAGGTTGGCTGTTCAAATCCCTGCGAGGGGGTGAGCTCCCGTTGCTCGGTCCCTGCTCCTGCCAACCTAGCAGTTCGAAAGCACGTCAAAGTGCAAGTAGATAAATAGGTACCGTTCCAGTGGGAAGGTAAACGGCGTTTCTGTGCTTCTCTGGTTTGCCAGAAGTGGCTTAGTCATGTTGGCCACATGACGCTGTAGGCCGGCTCCCTTGGCCAGTAAAGCGAGATGAGCGCCGCAACCCCAGAGTCAGTCACGACTGGACCTAATGGGTACCCTTTTACCCTTAAGTGCTTGAATGAGGGCCTGCTATAGATTCCTGACCTGCAATTAAATGTTTCCCATCTCCTCTAGTTCCCTGCAGGTATTATTTACCTTTGTGCAATGCTTGCTCCAGAGACCCTGTTGTGTGGAGAAAAGGTTCACAAATTACTCAGTGCATCATATACCGTTTCCCCCCGCTCTCTAAGATGCATTTTCCCCCTCCTAAAAGTAAGGGGAAATGTGTCTGCGTCTTATGGAGCAAATGCAGGCTGTGCAGCTATCGCTGAAGCCAGGAGAGCAAGAGGGATCGATGTGCACCGATCCCTCTTGCTCTCTTGGCTTCAGGGATAGCCACGCGAAGCCTCTTCAGGGCAACGGGAGGAATGCTCCCCCTGCCCTGAAGAGGCTTGGAATGGCTATCCCAGAAGCCAGAACAGCAAGAGGGATCACTGCTTTCACTGCACAGCAATCCCTCTTGCTGTTCTGACTTCGCTTCGCTGAAGAGGCACTGCGCAGAGAGGGAAAGCTGCGCAGCGCAACTTCAGCAAAGCGGGAGGAGAAACAGAGCCCCTTCCCTTTCTCCTCCCGCTTTGCTGGAGAGCCGCTGTGCATAGGGGGAGAGAAGATTTTTTTTCTTGTTCTCCTCTAAAACTAGGTGCGTCTTATGGTCGGGTGCATCTTACAGAGCGAAAAATACGGCATGCAGCGATGTGCCATTGCGTCTGTCTCTCTTGTACATGAAACTCCTCATTAACGGCATCAATTAAATTATGATCACTGTTTATAGATGCTTTTTTTGGTACATCTCTGGAATCTATGTTTTGAGTAAAGGCCTTAATAGGATAGGGAAACAAACTGGAATGAACACTTAAGGCTGGATGAATCCATGAAGTTTAGTTTCTCTCCCATTTCTCATTTTTCAAATCCTAAATTTGGTTTGCCTCATTTCTACATGCATTTGCATTTTTTTAATTAAAAAAGGTCATCCTGTAAATGCAATTTTGTCCAGTGTGTACATTATTGAGATCAATTACTCCCTAACAGAACACAGTTTTTGTACATTATTTCCACTTTTTATCAATTGCACACTTTTCCCTACAATGACCTTGAAGTGAAAGCCAGTTCTTCTCTAACAAGGAACTGACTTTCCCTGCCACCCCCTATCAAAAGCACAAATCATTTCTATATCTCTATATTTGAGTTGTCTCCAGTACCTTCACATTTCTCAATAGCTTTTTCCAGAGCAGAATTTTTCTGAGCGCAAATTCTGAGAGTCTCCTCCAGCCCTGGACACAGTTCCACCAGATGCCTCCCTAGTGCTTTTTCATACCTGGATGGGGAAGAAGGTTATGGACCTAGAATTGGATAAAGTTTAATTTAGTTTATTCATATGCTCTCTCTTTTTTTATTTTCACAGCGGACTGTGCTCAATGCAGCTCACAATAAAGTAGGTATCAAAACATACAACGTTTTGTTACGAAACACATCAACAAAATCAAATAAGGCAAAGTGAAAATAGATAGCACCGATTCAATTTGGCAAGGGAATAGTCTAGTCTTAGCTGGTTGAGAGCCAATGTTTGTCATTCTCAGATCAGACCCATTGAAACCAACCAAAGGTCACATACCTGCTCAAAGTGCTTTTGATATCCTGCAAGAGAGAACAAGGTGAAGTTGTTCTTAGTTGTACAGGCAGAAATAATTTATTCCTTCTGGGGGAAATAATCATTGTTGCAGGAGCGTGTCTTATTTATACCAAATATTAGAATTCAGAGAGCTTTAAGAGGAGCTCTGCTGGATGAAGCCAATGGCCTATCTAATCCAGCCTCCTGTTTTCACAGATGCCTATGGAAATATTCATAAGGTCTATTCCAAGATGAGTAATCACACAAGGAGCTAGGAGTGGGGTCTGTTGTGTACTGAGTTGAATAGGATCCAAAATGCAGCAGTCTGATTGGTCCTAGAACAACAGGATTCAGAATGCAGCAGTCTGATTGGTCCTAGAACAACAGGATTCAGAATGAAGCAGTCTGATTGGTCCACAGGAGCCACCCAATCCAGCTCCAGGTGGAAGTGAATCTGCAACCTGATTGGCCTACAGGAGAAGCGGACATGGAGCAATGGATCCAAACTACAAGAAAGAAGATTCCACCTAAACATTAGGAAGAACTTCCTGAAGGCAGCCCTGTTTAGGGAAGCTTTTAATGTTTAATAAGTTACTGTATTTTAGTGTTCTGTTGGAAGCTGCCCAGAGTGGCTGGGGAAACCCAGCCAGATGGATGGGGTGTAAATAATAAATAATTATTATTATTATTATTATTATTATTATTATTATTATTATTATTATTATTATCATTGGTATGAGTTTTCGTGTGCATGCACACTTCTTCAGATACACACCATAATAAAATGGTTTGGGCAGTAGCAATAATACAGTGGTACCTCGGGTTAAGTACTTAATTTGTTCCGGAGGTCCATACTTAACCTGAAACTGTTCTTAACCTGAAGCAACCTGGGGCCTCCTGCTGCCGCCGCGCCCGCCGTAGCACAATTTCTGTTCTCATCCTGAAGCAAAGTTCTTAACCTGAAGCACTATTTCTGGGTTAGCAGAGTCTGTAACCTGAAGCGTATGTAACCTGAAGCATATGTAACCCGAGGTACCACTGTATTATATTACACTGTTAGAAAAACAGGTCTAATTTAAGATTACGAGTATTTGTGCTTCCCAAACACCCAGAAACAAAAAATGCATTTTCCTGGCACCAAAATTAAAACAAGGTTGGCGTCAGTCCACGGTGGTGTTTTTCTACCTTATACTCTTGAGAAGCCTCTTCCATGGGGAACACACTATGTTCTCTGTGTTCCTTGGATCTGTCACACACCACACAGATGGGGTCTTGATCATTATTGCAGAAGAGTTTCAGGGGCTCCTGATGCCTCGGACACATTCCCCTCTTGCCATCTTCCTTCCTCCCTTCCTGAAGTTTCTTGACCAGCTCCACAAGGTTGGCCAGCTGACAGTTTGGCCGGAAGTTCCTCTGCTGAACGGTTTCCCTGCACTGAGGGCAGGAAGAGTCTGTGCTGGACTCTGCCCAATACTGGGTGAGTCAAGTCTGGCAGAAGTTGTGCCCGCAGTTGATGGTAACTGGATCCTTGAAGTACTCCAGGCAGATGGAGCAAGTCGCTTCCTCGCAGCATTCCGACAAGGCACTTCCTGACACCATGGCCCGCCTCTTAAGTCTTGTTTCAAATTTCAAACCTCCTTTCCTTTACAAGAATATTATCTGTGTGGGGCAGCTCCTTTGGGACTGTGTAACGACCAGCAGAATCTGGCCAGAAACCTGAAAACCAGTTTTATGAATTGTTTTCTTGAATCAAACTGGACTTAAACCTATATTAAAAAAAATATATCCTGGCTGCCTTGGACCAGAGTCAAAACTCCAAACATACAAGTAGTGGCGACCAAGTTCAAAACAAGTGGTCCAATAAGCAGCCACTCAAGACTTAGGGGGTGTTGAGGGCTTCCCTTAGTTCTAGGTGTGTTTGGAGAAGTTATCTTCCCCAGCAAGCCCTCTGAAGAGGAGGAGAAGCCAGAGAGATTGGTAGATGGGGACTAGGAGTGGGACTCTGATTGGAGCTCAGGTAGGGACCAGATTGCCCACAGCCTGTTGCGTAGCAATACAGTTTTCTGCAGATTGCCATTTGTTCTGATTCAGTGGTGTACAGGAGGTTTTCCTGGGGAAAGTGGTGGGACCCCCACCAAAACCATTCAGACATGGACCAATAAATCTCGGGTCTGTGCTTAGAAAGTGCAGGAGAAAATCAAATGCAGAAGAGCCTTTGTACAGGTCTACTCAGAAACAAACCCCATTGAGTTCAATGGGACTTACTTCCAAGTAGGGAATGGAAGAAGGCGTGTGAATTCAGAACATGAAAAGTTTTTGAGCTAAGTTACTGATCTCACTGTCTCCTGTGGCAGAATTACGTAACTTGTATACTTACTGGTTTAATAAGGTTTGTACACCATTTGATTGTATGAGAAATGCTGATTATTTCTTTTTTTGCTTTGGCAATCACTCGTAGGTGAGTAAGATTGTCTTCCATGAACATGGCCTTAACAATGAGTCTGTGGAGGCCAATTCTGGATCCACACGTCCTTCCACAGTAGGGACATAGGTTTCCAGGCAGGAGTTGATCATGGTGTGGATTTGCCAAGCGTGCCTTCCTCTTAGCTCATTTCTCCCTTTTATCCTGAGTTCGAGTGTCTTCAAAGCCCATGACACCTTTGGTAAAGGCTGTTCTCCAGTTGGAGCGCTCACAGGCCAGTGTTTCCCAATTGTCAGTGTTTATACTACATTTTTAAAGATTTGCCTTGAGGGAGTCTTTCAACCTCTTTTGTTGACCACCAGCATTGCGCTTTCCATTTTTAAGTTGGGAATAGAGTAGTTGCTTTGGAAGACGAAGACACTGGCTTGTGCTCAATATGAGCTGGGCAGAGTGGGGTGTGAGGAACAGCATATGTGGGGACATTGAAGCAGGCCCAGTGTATGCATAAACTATTTGTGTTGGAATTTCCTGTTCAGACATAATGTTGACCAGGTTTACAGAGCATGTGGGTGTTTAGAGACTGCACCTTTCTTTCTCCCTCAAAAACTCCTTTCCTCCCAGGAACTACATAGGGAATGAGCACTGTGTTATCTGCTTAAAGAAGCCACTGGTTCCTTTGTAGCTTCACTTTGAATACCTTTGCTCTTTCAATCTAGAGAAGGAAATGTTTTGGGTCATGAAAAATTAAATTTATTTTTTAATAACAATAATAATAAATTTTATTTATATCCCGGCCTCCCCAGCCGAAGCCGGGCTCAGAGCGGCTAACAACAGTAAAATGATGAAACATTCTAAAATCATTTCATTATAAAATTATGAAATTTTATAAAGGCCTGGTGGAATAGCTCTGTCTTGCAGGCCCTGCGGAAAGATGTCAAGTCCCGCAGAGCCCTGGTCTCTTGTGACAGAGCGTTCCACTAGATCGGGGCCACGGCCGGAAAAGCCCTGGCTCGGGTCAAGGCCAGCCTAACCTCTCTGAGGCCTGGGACCTCCAAGATGTTTTTGTTTGAAGTCCGTAAGTTCCTCTGTGTGATTTCCTTTGGCCAATGGATGTGGAAAGATGAACAGATGAATTCAAAAACATATGTCCTTGTGTTATGGCTTACTTTCTAAACAAGAGGTATGGAAATCTTGTCAGAAAATCATACTTGACCCTTCTTCTTACATGGCTTCTCTTCACCTGTCCCTAGATGTGCAGAGATAAATTTGAGTTTTTTTCAGTGGGAAGATAATGGCGCTCCACTCATGTATAATGATAGACTTTCCCCCAAAAGTGTGGTATATGTATAATAAGTATAAAAGAGTAAAACAACACACTGTGGTACATTTCTGCAGAGTAACTTTATAAGTATATTGATACATACTGTTAAATATACAGCGATGTGCATTGTTAAATGTATCTGCTTATGTGCTAGTTGTTGTCATACTAGAAGTCTAGGCCCAAGTTTGGGGCAAGCACCCTTGGGTGAGAAAACCCCAGCAGAGATTTAACATCGCAAAACATGCAGCAAAGAAACGCATGGAAATATAGGCTGTAAACCCTTTTTAAAAAGCTCTTTCCAAGCTATATTGATTCCCCAGCACAGAGATAGACCACATAAAATGGTTTCCTTACAAAACTATTCATGTGCTTTTCCATTCAGCAGACAGAAAAGATACGCAGTCAGTCAAAATCGTTGCTCAACTACATGAATGCAAAACTATCTAAACTATTGGTATAGGAAAATGCTAGTTTCAGAACTCCATTCTGGTCTGAAACAATGGTTGCGGGTTAAAGCTATGCTGCTGGCTGGAGTGACCAGTTCAGAGATCCTTCCATACAGAAATCCAAAAGGCTTGGTTACCCATTTCCTCCCAAGGTGAGGGGGAAGTAAAATAGACAAAGCCTAGCAGGACAGTTTACTCTATGGTTTTAACCTCTTCACACACCAATTATCAAGCATGCTGGATTATACTGGTTACTTTAGGAATTCTAGAGTGCATATGCATATGTAGAATAGTGCATAGGATATGCAATAATTGTTCATATTTGCATCAGAAAAAAAGCTTGTTTCTTGATTAGATTGAGGAATATGATTGGAATTTTTAAAAATCCAGGTGGATAAGCTCAGCATAGAGATTTTAGTGTGCATTTCTCCTTATGCAATTTTGGCTAATATACCGAATTTTTTGCCCTATAGGACGCACTTTTTCCCCTCCAAAAATGAAGGGGAAATGTGTGTGCGTCCTATGAGACGAATGCAGGCTTTCGCTGAAGCCTGGAGAGCGAGAGGCGTCGGTGCGCACCGACGCCTCTCGCTCTCCAGGCTCCACGATGCTACCCGCAAGCCTTGCGCACCCGGGGGAGTTCCCCTGGGCGCGCAAGGCTTGTCGGCGGCAGCCTGCAGCGGGGAGCATGGGGTGCCCTCCTGAGGACGCCCCGTGCTTCCCGCAGGTGTCGGCAAGCCTTGCGCACCCAGGGGAACTCCCCCCGGGAGCGCAAGGCTTGCGGGCGGCAGCCTGCAGCGCGGAGCATGGGGCGCCCTCCTGAGGACGCCCCGTGCTTCGCGCAGGTGTCCGCAAGCCTTGCGCACCGGGGGGAACTCCCCCTGGGAGCGCAAGGCTTGCGGGCGGCAGCCTGCAGCGTGGAGCACGGGGCGCCCTCCTGAGGACGCCCCGTGCTTCCCGCAGGTGTCGGCAAGCCTTGCGCACCCAGGGGAACTCCCCCGGGAGCGCAAGGCTTGCGGGCGGCAGCCTGCAGCGCGGAGCATGGGGCGCCCTCCTGAGGACGCCCCGTGCTTCGCGCAGGTGTCCGCAAGCCTTGCGCACCGGGGGGAACTCCCCCTGGGAGCGCAAGGCTTGCGGGCGGCAGCCTGCAGCGTGGAGCACGGGGCGCCCTCCTGAGGACGCCCCGTGCTTCCCGCAGGTGTCGGCAAGCCTTGCGCACCCGGGGGAACTCCCCCCCGGGCACGCAAGGCTTGCGGGCGGTAGCCTGCAGCGCGGAGCACGGGGCGCCCTTCGGAGGACGCCCCGTGCTTCGTGCAGGTGTCTGCAGCCTGGCGCGTGGGGCGCCCTGAAGCAGAGCGCCCCTCGCGCCGGGCAGACATCTGCCAGCCCCACAAGCTCGGGGGACAGCGGGGAGGCGCAGCGCTGCCATCCCACTGTTCCCCGACCTGGTTTTTTGGGGGGAAATAAAGGAAATTTCCCCCCCTTTATTTCCCCCCCAAAAAAGTAGGTGCGTCCTATGGGACGGAGCGTCCTATGGGACGAAAAATACGGTACCCATTTTTGCAAGTAGTTTCGCTAGACATAATGCATGTTTGTATTCTATAGTCGCTAATATATGCAATTTTAAGCACAATTCCCCCTAATGTACATATTATCTGGCTAGAAGACTACTAAATTCTGCATAGCAAAATTCTGAGAAGTGTGGATTTTGAAGGATAGCTAGGTTTTGGTTCACACATTGTTATGGGTATTTTGGTATTTTTGCATTAAATCAAACCTACCGGTAATTTCTCCTCCTGTACCTACTAGGGCTGCAGAGTGCATTTGGCTGAGTCCCAAACTGAATCAGGCTGATTTGGGGGGGGGGGGGAAATCCGGGCATCAACCGAGTCAGGTTCAGAAAGCCCTGGATTGGGATGCAAAGCCCAGAACAACGCAGGGGGTGGGACATCCCTGTCCGCACGTGGGTGATGTGCAGACCCAGGGACCACGAGGCAGATCAGTGGGGTCTCAGCAGAACCCTAATACACACTCCCACAATTGCTATTTGCACCAGAAGGAAAGCTTCCAGTAGCACAGCCCTAATACACCCCCCCACAATTGCTATTTGCACCAGAAGGAAAGCTTCCATTAGCACAGCCCTAATACACCCCCCCACAATTGCTATTTGCACCAGAAGGAAAGCTTTCATTAGCACAGCCCTAATACACCCCCCCCACAATTGCTATTTGCACCAGAAGGAAAGCTTCCATTAGCACAGCCCTAATACCCCCCCACACAATTGCTATTTGCACCAGAAGGAAAGCTTCCAGTAGCACAGCCCTAATACACCCCTCACCAGCTGCTATTTGCACTAGAAGGAAAGCTTCTGCTAGCTATCTGTTTTCAGGGTAAGACCAGGGCTGGTAAATATTCTGCTCAGTTTCCACACTTCAATTCAAGTCCTTCTCCCCCCAGACAAAAAAAGGGACGAATGGCCTCCCCAGCGAACGAAGCTGCAGAAAAAGTGAAAATGGAGGTATCTGTATCGGCATCAAAAAACTCCACCTGGCGTGCTTTGTAATCCAGGGATACTCGGATCTTCCTCACCTGATGTGCCAAGTGCGAATGGCTTGGCTTGCGGGAAGTGAAAGCAGTGAGCTTTTTGGAAAAGGGGCTCACCCCCACAACCCAGACCCCAGCTTTAGGGCTCAGGTTGAAACCTTTATTTCCCTGGAAGGACTCTCTTGCCGCCCCTACGATCCACAAGCACTCCTGATCCATGTATTCCTTGTCTTCTTCATTTAAATCTAGCTCGGCCTCCCACCAATGTCTCCCGGACGTGAACTTCTCGCGGCCCAGCACGTAGGGTATGGAGAGCAATTCGACCGTGTCCTCAGCCTGGTCGTCAGGCACGTCCCCAACCTTCACGCTCTTCAGATCGGCAGACAGCGCGAGCAGAGGGTGTGCCGTGAGAGGATCCAGAGTCACGCTCACTGAAGGGCACACAGAGAAAGGGAAAATAAACATGGGCTTAAATCTCCCGGCCAGCAAGTGTACACTCCCTAAGCAGGTGAGAAGGAACGATCCTTTCGCGTCTGCTACACCTGGGACCACCGCCTTTAGCTATGGTTTCTACCCCTTTCCAATCAGAGACATATTTACATCATAGCTGTCAACTTACAGATTTGAAAAGAAGGGACCGGCAGCCTTGAAAATAAGGGGCCAGCAGCCTTGAAAATAAGGGATCAGCAGCCAAAATAAGGGATTTTGCTATTGTAAAGAGTTACATACATTGGTAGGATTGACGGATGCTGCCAATTCGGCATTAGGCGGTTGCGGCGTCGCCCTTCTGCGTCCCTCCCCATCCCCTCCTCTTCCTCCTCCCTCAGGCCGCCTCCTCAGCCGCCGCCACCGCTGCCACCTCTGGGCTTGCGGGCGGCATGGGCGAGAGTCTCTTGGGCGGGGAAGGGCCGATAGAACTCCTCGCCCCAGGATGACGGCGCCAGCGCTCTCTCTCGCGCGCGGTGGAGGACCCCGAGCCGCTACTTCCCTCCCGAGCCGGGCGAGCATGAAACCCGGGAAATTTAAGGGACATCATCAATAAGGGACAGCAGCGGGACACAGCGCTGGGATAAGGGAGTTGCTTAAGAAGCAATAGAACAAAGAATAAAACAATCATCATACATGTTTCAGCGGTTGCTTCTTAAAAAAAAAAGCCCTGTTACAGTACTTCCCTGATTAATATCGGCATTTACCGTATTTTTCGCCCCATAGGGTGCACCGGCCCATAGGGCGCACCGGCCCATAGGGCGCACCTAGTTTTTTTTTGGGGGGGGATAAAGGAAAAAAAATTATTTCCCCCCAGGCACAGGGCTGGGGCAGGGGAAGCCCGAGCTTCCCCCGACCCTGGACCCCAGAACAGGCTGCTATCCGCAAGCCTAGGGAGCCCGGCAGGAAGTCGTGCCGGTCTCCCCAGGCTTGCGGATATCTTCCCGAAGCCCGGGTAGCGTGGCTCAGCATGCCCCAGGCTTCGGGATGCAGGCAGCTCCCACCGCCAGCCTGCAAACCAGGTCGGGGAACAGCGGGAAGGTGCGCTCCGCCTCCCCGCTGTCCCCCGAGCTTGTGGTGCTGGCGGTGGGGAGAAGCGCTGCTTTCCCCACCGCCAGCCTCCAAACCAGGTCAGGTTTGGAGGCTGCTATCCACAAGCCTTGGGAGCCCGACGGGAACTCCCACGGAGCTCCCAAGGCTTGCGGAGAGCTTCCTGAAGCCTGGAGAGCGAGAGGGGTCGGTGCGCACCCTCTTGCTCTCCAGGCTTCAGTGAAAGCCTGCATTTGCCCTATAGGACGCACACACATTTCCCCTTCATTTTTGGAGGGGAAAAAGTGCGTCCTATAGGGCGAAAACTACGGTAAATATAGGGCTATGCTGAATGAATTAACTTTTGGATGGCATGTCAGGCACAGTTAAGAAACAATTATTATTTGTTGAATTTATTGTATTTATTCCCAGAATAAAACCAGTTCTGCTCCTTGACTCTTTTCCAAGCACTATCTCCCACCAAGATTTAGTTCTCATTTAGTTCCATAATATTACCTTTCTCCAGTTTTTGCTCCAGAGGCGCTGTAGTGTGAGTGAGAAATTTATTCAAACCTTCTGAAATATAAAAATGAGGTCCTGTATTTCATGGGTTGTTTTGCTTTTTTAGGTTGATTATTACTTTGTGTGACTCAGCCGCAGCAGTGCTACGAAATATCAATATGTCAACTGGACCTTGATTAAGATCATCACATAAATTAGAATTACATTAGATGTGCTCCAGTTTTAAAGTGAGTGACTTCCTGTGGTCAGCAGACGGACCCACTGGCAAGTTATCCCATCAAAATATCCCTTGGTATTCTGTCCCCCCAAAATTACCTTTCTTCAGTGCTTCCTCCAGAGAATCTGTTTGAGGAGGTGGGAGAAGGAAGGAAACATTAGGTTTAAAAATGACAAATTCGCTCAAAGAGCTTATCAATATGTAATAAATAATGTAGATTTTAATTTTTTTTAAAATCATATTTACTGCAAAGTTTCCAGCTCTACTGCAATCTTCTAAGATGCAGTTGCTAGGCCTCTCCAGAATCTCCCATGTTTGCACCATCGATTTGCAGAAAGGCATCGCAATGTTTTTGTTTCTATGCCTTTCGCTGGCAAGGAATTTTGCCTTTTTCACAGCCGGGTGGATGTTTCCATTGCATATTCCACCCTGGGCCCTAGATCGCTTTCCTCCACAGTTATATCTTTGAGAGCTCAACCTCTCTCTCTCCCTCCCCCCACCCGACTCCCGAGCTGCCCCAAATACCTGCACATTTCACCATAGCGTTTACTAGCGTGGAATTTTTCTGACAACAGATCTTGAGTCTCTCCTCCAACCAGGTGGAAAGGTCTGCTGAATGCTCCGCTCGTTTCTCCCTGTACCCGGGACGGAAAGATGGTTTTGCGAAAAGAAAGGTTAAAGAATGGTAATTCCTCTAACGCTTTATAGATTCAATGCGTGGCACCTGTCGTTTGAAAAGGTTTTTAAGCAGCCAGCACTTTTGGGGGAAGTAGAGAGAGAGGACTGGAGGGGACTACAGCCTGGTTCTTGTGATGTACTGAAGTTCTCACCCTGGGCCAGCAGGGAGATACTGTAGATAGTTATGTAAATAAGGGATCGAAAGTGACATTCAGTGATTGGATAGTTTTAGAAAATTGTTACAGTTACATTGTACTGGAGCTCTATATAAGCAGGCTGACTGAACCCTTCAGTTCAGTTCTGTCCTGGCCTGTGAATAAACAAGAGCTGTTTGAAGAATCATTGTGTCGTCTGATATGTTCACCCACAACTTAACAGTTCTATATAGAGGGGCTTCTTGGGCTCACACAAGAATGTGCTTCATCCCTTTGAAGGTGACCCGGAAACTACAACTAATCCAGAATGTGGCATTAACACTGGTCCTGAAAGACCTACATTGGCTCCCAGTACGTTTCCAAGCACAATTCAAAGTGTTGGTGCTGACCTTTGAAGCCCTAAACGGCCTTGGCCCAGTATACCTGAAAGAGCATCTCCACCCCCATCGTTCAGCCCGGACACTGAGGTCCAGCTCTGAGGGCCTTCTGGCGGTTCCCTCACTGAGAGAAGTGAGGTTACAGGGAACAAAGTAGAGGGCCTTCTCAGTAGTGGCACCCACCCTGTGGAACGCCCTCTCATCAGATGTCAAGGAAATAAACAACTATCTGACTTTTAGAAGACATCTGAAGGCAGCCCTGTTTTGGGAAGTTTTTAATGTTTGATGTTTTATTGTGTTTTTAATATTCTTTTGGGAGCCGCCGAAGGTGGCTGGGGAAACCCAGCCAGGTGGGTGGGGTATAAATCATCATCATCATCATCCCTGTCAAGACTAATGTAGCTGTGGACAAATTATCTGTGCCAAATAATGTCAGATCCAAAGGGTGTAGAAGCTAGACTAAAAACTGTGTAACAGAAAAGAAGATAAGCCAGTTATTGCTCACCTTGCCCTGCAGCCTATGGACATTATAATGTTTGTTTATTCTGCTTTTGCTACTGTTAGCTGCATCAAGACTTTCTGGGGAATAAGCAGGGATTTATTTATTTTTAAGAGTCAGTAATGGCAGGAGAAGGAGCTGCATACCTGAGCAAGGTACTTTCGATGTCCTGAAAGAGAAAGATATAGAGAAGTCTGTCTCATATTTGTGTTACCAGGAGGACTGATTTGCCCCATTTTCTCTCCTGAAAACTAAATGTCACTTTCAGGTGACATTGACTCCATCTCACCTGAAGGAACAGCTGTGGAGGCTGCTCACACTTCTCCTCCAGCTCAGCAATCAATTTCGTGAGGTAAGAAATGTCCTCCGAGAGTCTGTTGCCATTTTCCGCCACCTTCTTCTTAATCTCCTTTTCTAGGTTTCTCAGGCGAGCCAGCGAGGAACTCTCTTTTTCCTCCAGAGAATTTTGCATCTTCTCAAAGGCATCTTTGATTTTCTGCTTTTCTTTGTTTAACTGTTTCTGAGGAAAGAACGTCCACACGGGTGTCACAAATGCACCTGGAACAAACATGGAAACCCCCCCTCTGTCCTCCACACATACACATAAATCCACTCCACATATCAGATGTGCAACATGCACAGGTAACACAACACACATCCAGTACTGGCAGTCCCCCATTTACACACATCCAGCTGACCCATGACTGCACACACATGCAGCTACTTTCAGGCTGCACACAGGGCAAGGAATGGCTAAGGAAAGAAGCGATTAGTTCCGGAACTTTGGGAAAGTAGGAAGTAGGAAAGTTCTAGCCTTTCCTGCCATACCAGCCTGTGGGTTTAAAGGATGCTATGCTAGCAATTCGAAAGCAAGCACAAGTAGATAAATAGGTACCACTCTGGCAGGAAGGTAAACAGTGTTTCCGTGTGCTGCTCTGGTTCGCCAAAAGCAGCTTAGTCATGCTGGCTACATGACATGAGAAAACTGTCTGTGGACAAACATCGGTTCCCTTGGCCTGTATAGTGAGATGAGTGCCGCAACCCCAGAGTTGTTCGTGACTGGACTTAACTGTCAGGGGTCCTTTAAAGGTAAAGGGACCCCTGACCATTAGGTCCAGTTGTGGCCGACTCTGGGGTTGCAGCGCTCATCTCGCTTTATTGGCCAAGGGAGCCGGTGTACAGCTTCCGGGTCATGTGGCCAGCATGACTAAGCCGCTTCTGGCGAACCAGAGCAGCGCACGGAAACGCCGTTTACCTTCCCGCCAGAAGGTACTTGCACTTTGACCTGCTTTCAAACTGCTAGGTTGGCAGGAGCAGGGACCAAGCAATGGGAACTCACCCCGTCACGGGGATTCGAACCACTGACCTTCTGATTGGCAAGTCCTAGGCTCTGTGGTTTAACCCACAGCGCCACCTGCGTTCCTTAGGGGTCCTTTACCTTTACCTTCACCTTTTATGTACATGATTTAGAGGGCTTTGTGGAATAGCCTCTGGTTAGTCTGGCCAAGTGCGAGGCAGTTTTAAAGCGACAGGCTTTCTGGGGTTCAGGTTTGCTCCACGATCCCTGCCTTGGCTGCGAGTCTGTTGTCTACGCACAACCTTGGCTTGCAAAGATCTTGAATGAAAAAAACCTACCAGACATTTCTCCTTTTCCTCTTCTTCGGACTGTTTCTGATTGACAAGGTTTTGCTTTTCTTTCTCCAAAGACTTCAGCTGGCTCTGGGTTCTTTCCTGCATAGATTGAAAATAACATTGTGTGTCACCACAGTCTCCGAGTGGCGAGAGATTCCCGGGGTTCCAGGACCTTTCTCATCAGGGTTCGTGTTTCCTTTTGGGAATGAGGCACAGCAGAGACTGTGGTGCCTTTATGATATGTGGTTTGTTTACACATATATACAACTATCTGTGAGTTGAGGTAGGGGCATTTGCCATCTCCCCTTCCTTTGTTCTCCTTACACCTCCCCCGGAGACTCGCATGGCTATTAAAAAAATGAGAAACCTTGGTTAGATTTTAACACACGTAGGCAACCTAAGGCCCAGGGGCTGGATGTGGCCCAATCTCCATCTCTATCTGGCCCATGGATGGTCCAAGAATCAGCGTGTTTTACATGAGTAGAATGTGTGCTTTTATTTAAAATGCATCTCTGGGTTATTTGTGGGGCATAGGAATTTGTTCATCCCTCCCCCCAAATATAGTCTGGCCCACCACATGGTCTGAGGGATGGGGGACTGGCCCACAGCTGAAAAAGGTTGCTGATCCCTATTTTAACACTTGCTGGATCCTGGGATTAGAGAGGTCTGGCACTGACAAACTCGTAACGATAATTTGGTTCTGGCAGGAGGGCAGCCCATGTGATGTCAAACACAGATCTCCTTAGAAAATGTTCACCCTATCAAGTCATTCCATTCTTTCAGAAAAAATGATTTTGGGCCACCCTGTAGGATTCCTTAAGTAGGTTTGTCTGAAACATTGACATGATCATGGGTAGCTAAGAGGGCAGAGGCCATTGCTGTGGTGACGCTTCATCTTCCCCATGTCTTTGTACTGCGCAGCAGACCGAAAAGGGCTTATGTCTCATCTAAGCATGAAGATCTAGTAATTTGCAGAGGTTTCTTCCTATTGGAAAATAAAGACCATATCCCAGGCATCCCCGATCCTGCAGCCCTCTAGACGTTTTGGCCTACAACTCCCATGATCCCTAGCTAACAGGACCAGTGGTCAGGGATGATGGGAATTGTAGTACAAAACATCTGGAGGGCCAAAGGTTGGGGATGCCTGCCATATCCCCCTACCCCCACCCCTTTTCTGAGTATGTTAGATACATATTATATGAGCCAGTCTGATTCTGAATCAAACTATTTGTTCCTCTATCAAAAAGCTGCCTTCAGGTTTGTAGGATATTAGATAGAATTATTTCACTTTCTCAGCCCAATTGGAAGGAACTGAACCTGGGATCTTAGTTTGCCCTGTGGAAAGCCCTCCCATCAGATGTCAAAGAATTATTTGACTTTTGGAAGACATCTGAAGTTTTTAATGGTTGATGTTGATGGCTGCATATAAATAAAATAATAATAATAACAATAACAACAACAACAATAATAATAGTAATAATAATAATAATAATAATAATAATAATAATAATAATAATAATTACTAAGGCTCATCTGGAGCAAATCTGAAGCAGATGCATTGTTGAGCCTGAGCATTAATCTGCGCTATACAGCCAACAACCTCCCTGCGAGAAGTGAGGTTACAGGAAACCAGGCAGAGGTAGTGGCGCCTGCCCTGTGGAACACTCTCCCACCAGATGTCAAGGAAATAACTATCAGACTTTTAGAAGACATTTAGCAGCCCTGTTTAGGGAAGTTTTTAATGCTTGATGTTTTATTGTGTTTTTAATATTCTGTTGGGAGCTGCCCAAGGTGGCTGGGGAAACCCAGCCAGATGGGAGGGGTATAAATCATCATCATCATCATCCCTGTCAAGACAAATGTAGCTGTGGACAAATTATCTGTGCCAAATAATGTCAGATCCAAAAGGTGTAGAAGCTAGACGTTTGATGTTTTATTGTGCTTTTAATATTCTGTTAGGAGCCGCTCAGAGTGGCTGGGGAAACCCTGCCAGATGAGTGGGGTATAATTAATAAATTATTATTATTATTATTATTATTATTCTCCAAACTCTCAGGCAGAATTTTATAGACTGAGATTACCCGGGGCGGATCTACACTCGTCATTTATAATGTTTAAAAGGCATTAACAGAGGGCTCTGCAGAGCAGTGAGCCGCCAGCAATGGCAAACTACCATTAAGCATTAGAGAACATTATATTCAATCACGTTTAGAAGATCAATGTAGATCCAGCCCTGGATTGAATCGGGAGTCTTCTATATGTACCGTATTTTTCGCTCTATAAGACGCACCTTTTCCCTCCTAAAAAGTAAGGGGAAATGTGTGAGCGTCTTATGGAGTGAATTCAGGTGGGAGGCTCTGCTCAGCGCTCCCTTTAAAGAGTCGCAAGGAGCATGTGTGCGGCTTCTGGGGGCTTTTCCCTCCTCAGGGAAAAGCCCCCAAGAGCCGCACACATGCCCTGCACGCTCTTTAAAGGGAGCGGGGCTCTTGGGGGAGCCTTCATCCCGCTGCCCGGGAGAGGCTGCGCACGGCTATCCCATGAGCCAGGACAGCAAGAGGCTATCCCAGAAGCCAGATCCCTCTTGCTGTTCTGGCTTCTGGGATTCAGAATATTTTTTTTCTTGTTTTCCTCCTCCAAAAACTAGGTGCGTCTTATGGCCTGGTGCGTCTTATGGAGCGAAAAATACGGTAATTTCCTCCCCTCCCTTCATAATTCAGCACTGACTATAATAGGAACAGAGGATCCCAGCATGAAAACACCTCCACCTTACTTTACCTTATATAATTTCAGTGGAAGGAGTTTGAGGCCTTCTACTGTTTCTCCCAGCTGCAAATTTGGTCGAAAATTCCACTTCTGGATCTGGGATTTGCAAAGAGGACACTTCAACGCTCCCCCATCCTGATATTCCAATATCTTACAGTAGGTGGTGATGCACCCCCGGCAGAAGTTGTGGCCGCAGTCCAGGGTCACAGGGTCTGTAAGATACTCCCTGCAGATGGAGCAAGTGGTTTCCTGTTCCTCATTTGTGGTTGGTGAGCCCTAGAACTGGGGTCTTTGTGGCATTGATGTTAGGAGGCGCAGCTTGGATCACCTGCAGAATGGTTATGTTTTAGAAGAGTTTAGATTTGATATCCCGCTTTATCACTACCTGAAGGAGTCTCAAAGCAGCTAACATTCTCCTTTCCCTTCCTCCCCCACAACAAACACTCTGTGAGGTGAGTGGGGCTGAGAGACTTCAGAGAAGTGTGACTGGCCCAAGGTCACCCAGCAGCTGCATGTGGAGGAGTGGGGAAGCGAACCCAGTGCACCAGTTTACGAGTCCACCGCTCTTAACCACTACACCACACTGGCGTAAATTGCTGTAGGATAATAACTATGACCAAACTGTGGGAGGCAGTGGAAGACAGGAGTGCCTGGCGTGCTCTGGTCCATGGGGCCAACGAAGAGTCGGACACGACTAAACGACTAAACAACAACTATTTGAAAAATTATTATTATTAGTCACTTGTTGCACAGAGGTCTCCAAGAGACTTAAAAGAGTTAAAAACAGTATTCAGATAAACATAAATAGCAGCTGGGCAAAAACATACACAGTTCATCAAAATTTACAAAACAGCTCTCCCAACAGCCCAGAAAGATCACTTCTGTGGAGTCGGCTTGCATGTCCTCTAATACATTGCATGGAATCCAACATAGCACTAAGGCCATCGTTTCATCAGCACAAGGATTTCTGCTTGGGCAAAGAATTGTTCTCCCACTGGAGGGGCAACTTTGCCTGAAAATTTCATACAATGATAGAATTGGAAGGGACCCTGAGGGTCATCTAGTCCAACCCCCTGCAATGCAGGAATCTCAGCTGAAGCATCCCTGACAGGTGGCCATCCAATCTCTGCTTATAAACCTCCAAGGAAGGAGAGTCCACCGCCTCTCGAAGGAATCTGCTCCACTGCTGAACAGCGCTAGCTGTCAGAAAGTTTTTCCGAATGTTCAGTCGGAATCTCTTTTCTTGTAACTTAAAGCCATTGGTTTGCATCCTACCCTCTAGAGCAGGAGAAAACAAATTTGCTCCCTCTTACATGTGACATAGCCCTTGAAATATATTCAGAGTCCTGTAGTGATTTCATGCTCTTTATTGCAGCTTGTAAAACAGTGATTGAATTGCCCCCCAAACCTCAGGCTTTTATATACCGTATTTTTCGCTCTATAGTATGCACTTTTCCCCCTCCAAAAATTAAGGGGAAATATGTGTGCGTCCTATGCAACAAATGCAGGCTCCTTGGCTACAGCGATAGCAACGCGAAGCCTCCGAAGCGCAGAGGGAGTGCTCCCTCCGCGCTCCAGAGGCTTCGCGTTGCTTTTGCTGAAGCCTGGAGAGCGAGAGGGGTCAGTGCACACCGACTCCTCTCGCTCTCCAGGCTTCGGGGATAGCCGCCTGAAGCCTTTGGAGTGCAGCGGGACCTCACGCTGCACTCCAAAGGCTTCGGGTTCCTTTTGCTGAAGCCAGGAGAGCAGGACTCTCCTGGCTTCAGCAGAGAGGGAGAGCTGCACAGCGCCCCTTCAGCGAAGCGGGAGGAGAAATGGAAGGGGCTCCGTTTCTCCTGCTGCTTCGCAGAAGGGGCGCTGAGCAGAGAGGGGGAGAATTTTTTCCCTTGTTCTCCCCCTATAAAAAAAGGTGCGTCCTATGGTTGGGTGCGTCCTATAGAGCGAAAAACACGGTACATTATTTACACAACGAGTCCTGTCTGATTGGCTGATTCTGCTTCCCTCCTGGAGCCTGATTGGTCTTTTCCTGCAAGCCAATCAGTTGTATCATTCTAGGATCCTACCTGCCTATTGTTCTAAGATCCAAGCTTAGTACATAACAGCCCTTCAGATATTTCACTCACTTATGTGAAAAGGAAGAGAGATTATAGCCATTTAAAAATTCCCCATTATCGTAAATGGGGTCAGAAACAAAGCTTCAGATTTAACAGAACAAATATGGACCCCGATTTGCCGATGCATTTAGCTATGTTGCGATTTTGGTCTGTTTTTATTTTGAGGGTGTGTTGGATGGTGGCTGATAGATTGGTTTAAGCATTTATTAAGTTATTTATCCATATTTATTGCAGAAGGTTAATATCCCGCTTGGTTGTAATAAAACCTCAAAGTAATTTACACACACACACACACACACACACACACACACATATATAATTATTGGCAAAAGCAGAGAGATAAAGGAGCTATTTACAACATTTAGAAATTAATTAGAATCAAAGAGAAGCCAAAACCCAGATTAAAACCCACGTCAACATCCTACATGCCTGGAGTTATACGCCTGCAGAACTTCTTTTTATCAGTTCCTACACTTTGGACACCAAGGAGACTTCAACAATTTTCCCTTGGGATGTTCCTGACAATGGGCTGAAAGCATCTCTGCTTGGGCAACAGATTTCTGCGCATGCAGTGAGACCTCCTCTCCCTCTCCCATCCCCTCCACCCCCCTGCATGCCCTCAAAATCAGCTCAAGGGTTGCTTAGCCATCATTTGGTCTCGTACCCAAGATGATTCTGCTATTCCCCCAAATATGACCAATGGCAGTGGCTGAACCATTCCTAGAAGTGGTGGCAAGGTGTTCTGAAGTTAGACAAAAGAGGAAAACCTCCACCACGCTCGACTGCCACATTCCCTCCCTACAAAAGGTGTTCGAATTTAACTCCCAGATCCCCAAAGTAACAAAAAGAAGTCTCAGTTTTTCCCTGCAGCTCAAATGGCCCTATGAAAGTGTACATGGAATACCATAGAATTGTGGAGTCATCTAGTCCAACCTCCTGCGATGCAGAGATCTTTTGCCCAAGGTGGGGATTGAACCCACAACCTTGAGATTCAGAGTCTCATGCTCTACCAACTGAGCTGTCTGTCTGTGTGTGTGTGTGTGTGTGTATGTGTGTGTGTGTGTGTGTGTGTGTGCGATATCTTCAGCTTGAACCTCCAGGAAGAAGACCCAATTATTTCCCTGTCCTCTTCCTTCGTGATGACCTCCTACCTTGGACCCTTGAGCGGCCACTTCTGCAGGAACCACATCTTGGATTTTGTCCTCCTTGTTGCATTTGGACACGGTGCAGATGGGGGCTCGATCCTCCTTGCAGGAGAGCCTCAGGGGATCTTGGTGACTCTTGCTCACTTCCTTCCTTTTGGCATCTCTTTTCGCCCCCTCCTGAAGTTTCCTGACCAGCTGTACAAGGTTGGCCAGTTGCTGGTTGGGCTTGAAGTTCCTTTGATGGACGGTTTCGCCACACAGCAGGCAGGAAGGGTCTCTGCTGGCCTCTCCCCAGTGAGGCAGCGAGGGGAGACAGGCTTGGCAGAAATTGTGCCCGCAGTCAATAGTCACAGGATCGTCAAAGCATTGCTTGCAGATGGAACAAATCTGATCAGGGAACTCATGGAGAGAGCCTGAAGCCATGGCTTGCTTTCTTTCTTTCTTTCTTTCTTTCTTTCTTTCTTTCTTTCTTTCTTTCTTTCTTTCTTTCTGTCTTTCTTTCTGTCTTTCTGTCTTTCCTCAACACATAATGAGGGACTTATATTGCATTTGGGATGCCAGGGTCTTGGTGTCAGAGTTCCAGGATTGGTCTGAAAATGTGGAGGGTTCAATGCCCTCCCCCTTTTCTCAGGCGGTTCCTGGAAATCACACAAACTAAGTGGCTGCACAAACGTTGACACTACATGGCTGATTCTGCCTCTGCTGTTGCTGTGACAAGCTAACACCCTGGAGCAGAGAGACCTCTCTCTCTGCATAGAGATTCCCAGAGCACTTCAGGATCCTGTGTGTCCGTGACTGCCCTTTACACGGAAGTAGAGGCAGGGGAGAAATGCAATTCAGTTCACGTTTTAAAGGTCACCGTGCTGAACCAGCCCTTTCTGAAACCGCACAGGAAGTGAAACACAGCCATTCTTTGAAATTTTCACGTCTCTGAATTTTGCAGTGCAGATCTCCAGCCAGAAGGGATATTCTGCAAAGATTCATGTGCTAGGGTTAACCGGGCATAAAATCGAATCTCTTATTGAAAATAATATACGGTATTGAGCGAAACGGCTTTGTTGACAAATTTGCACGCCAGGCAAAATTGTGTACAATTTTGTTCGTATTAGGAGAAATTTCTTCCTATTAGGAGAAAACTGATGGTGACTTGAACAATAATAGCAAACTGATGTGGAAGCTTAAGACTAGAAAGATGAGAAACTGAGAGAAACTGGAATGGATAGAGTCACCCATCCCTATACACAAGTAACAAACGTAGAGGCCTTGGGTGAGGAATCAGCCACATAACAACTGTTGGAATGTGCTGGAACATCTGCTTAAACAGAACGTCCCTAAAGTGGTATAAAAAGGGCTGCGAGTGCAAATGCTCCATATGCATAAGAACATTTTGAAAGATGAGTATAGTTGAATGGAAGCACTTGAGGCTCAGTAAGCAGGATACAGTGGTACCTCGGGTTACATACGCTTCAGGTTACAGACTCCGCTAACCCAGAAATAGTGCTTCAGGTTAAGAACTTTGCTTCAGGATGAGAACAGAAATCGTGCTCCAGCGGCACGGCGGCAGTGGGAGGCCCCATTAGCTAAAGTGGTGCTTCAGGTTAAGAACAGTTTCAGGTTAAGAACGGACCTCCGGAAAGAATCAAGTACTTAACCTGAGGTACCACTGTATTTCAAAACTTTCAAGGAGCGTCTCCACCCCTGTCATTCAACCCGGACACTGAGGTCCAGCTCTGAGAGCCTTCTGGTGGTTCCCTCACTGTGAAAAATGAAGTTACAGGGAACCAGGCAGAGGGCCTTTTTGGTGGTGACGCCTGCCCTCCTTGTATCAAGGAGATAAACATCTACCTGACTGTTAGAAGGCATCTGAAGGCAGCCCAGCATAGGGAAGTTTTTATTGTTTGATTGCTTCTTCTTCTTCTTCTTCTTCTTCTTCTTCTTCTTCTTCTTCTTCTTCTTCTTCTTCTTCTTCTTCTTCTTCTTGTGTTGGGAGCTGCCCAAAGTGGCTGGGGAAACCCAGCCAGATGGGCGGGGTATAAATATTTTTTTATTTTTATTATTATTTTTATTATTATTATTATATAAGGGACAGAAGCCAAACATAATCCAACTCTCCATAAAAATCAAGAGCATCATACCATCACTCATGTAGAGTTATTAAATATTGAAAATATTCCACATGCATTACGCATATTCATCTGCAGGTGTACTGAACGAAGCAGATTATAGAGGCCTCTTTTGACCTATGTTTAGACGGTGAAACAGCTTTAGTCACCCCGACCTCTCAAAGGAATAATAATAATAATAATTATTTATTATTTATACCCCGCCCATCTGGATGGGCTTCCCCAGCCACTCTGGGCGGCTTCCAAAAAAATATTAAAATACTGTAATGCATCAAACATTAAAAGCTTCCCTAAACAGGGCTGCCTTCAGATGTCTTCTAAAAGTCTGTTAGTTGTTGTTCTCTTTGACATCTGATGGCAGGGCGTTCCACAGGGCGGGTGCCACTACCGAGAAGGCCCTCTGCCTCGTTCCCTGTAACTTGGCTTCTTGCAGTGAGGGAACTGCCAGAAGGCCCTCGGCGCTGGACCTCAGTGTCCGGGCAGAATGATGGGGGTGGAGACACTCCTTCAGGTATACAGGACTGAGGCCATTTAGGGCTTTAAAGGTCAGCACCAACACTTTGAATTGTGCTCAGAAACGTACTGGGAGCCAATGTAGGTCTTTCAAGGCCGGTGTTATATGGTCTCGCTCCCAAGTGCCTTGGTGTGCCTTGCAGAGGGGGAGGCCGTGGCCTCAGTGAGGCGGCCTCAGCCTCATGGTGGTGGCGACTTACAAAGTTAAAGCAGTGGGAAGCAGGTAGGTGGGTGGGGTTGACCAAGTTGGCCTGGCCGGGTTGGAGGGGGCGGCACGTGTGTGATGTCACGCGTGGACAACAGGCTCCCCCAATGTTGGGTGCAGCTTGGTACCTCTGCCTGAGACCCACCTCTGATTCACTCCTTAAACTCACTACAGGACCCCCTTGCACATAAGAACATAAGAAGAGCCTGCAGGATCAGGCCAATGGCCCATCCACTGTTCTTACAGTGGCCGACCAGATGCATGTTGAGTTATAAACAATGCTAAGAATCATTTTCCATATACCACCCATTGAGTCTTCAGCCAGCTTTTTCCATGACAGCCATTGCCAAAACCTTCTGACTCCAAACAGATAACAGCAAGTTATATAAACCTTTCCAACTTTGATGGGATGAGAAATGTAATCAGTTCTTTATTTAAAGCATCTGTCTTGAAAATGGTTGATACAGCTATTTGGGGTGTACACTGAACCGTTTGTTTTGTGAACAAACTTAATGAAGAAGCGTATGAACTCATGTTGACAATCATGACAATCATCATCTTATCTCTTTGTGCAACATCAACAGAGTTTTGTGTTCAGGACCCAATCCTTGGCAGAGAACTTCTATCACAAGTACTTAATTTGATAACGTTAATGGTTTTCACATGTCCTAGAACAGAAAGCCTGCCACTCATAGGTTTGGAAGCTAGTGCTTTGCTTTTAACTTTCTTGTAGAAGAAGCAATGAATCCAACTAGCCTTTGGAGCAACTGTGTGAACAAGTTGGACCAGGCCATTCTCCCTTCCTATTACAGATGGAGCAAATTGTTCTTCAAAGCTTTGGTTTTCTTCAAAGGGCTCTTCAAAGACCGGGTGTCCATTTTTTGAAAGATAATAATCAAGTGGTTTGTTTTTCAATCCAACATGCTTTCTTTCTAAACACTTTGATGGTTCTTATGTTTCCAAACTTTCATTTGCTAAGCACATTTCGCACACTGAGGTGTTGGCCTGCTATTCTTCTAGTACAGTGGTATCTCGGGTTAAGAACTTAATTCGTTCTGGAGGTCTGTTCTTAACCTGAAACTGTTCTTAACCTGAGGTACCACTTTAGCTAATGGGGCCTCCTGCTGCCACCACACAATTTCTGTTCTCATCCTGAGGTAAAGTTCTTAACCTGAGGTACTATTTCTGGGTTAGCGGAGTCTGTAACCTGAAGCGTCTGTAACCTGAGGTACCACTGTACAAGAGAACCTCTGTTTCAAATGTTGTGGGTCAAACCTTCAGACCCTTTCAGTAGTTGTGTCTTCTTTTTACTTTCTAGGGGGCTGCTCTTTGGTGAAGGTGGCCTGTTGTTGAGCAGAAAGGCGAGAAGCTATCACCATGATGTTTTCTTATGGGAGCCAGTGTGGTGTAGTGGTTAAGAGCGGTAGATTCGTAATCTGGTGAACCGGGTTCGCTTCCCCGCTTCTCCACATGCAGCTGCTGGGTGACCTTGGGCTAGTCATACTTCTCTGAAGTCTCTCAGCCCCACTCACCTCACAGAGTGTTTGTTGTGGGGGAGGAAGGGAAAGGAGAATGTGAGCCGCTTTGAGACTCCTTCAGGTAGTGATAAAGCGGGATATCAAATCCAAACTCTACTTATCAAGAAAGCACCCATGGCATCCAAAATGATTGCATTTTTCATCTCCTTTGGCTTTCAGTTACTTCCACCAACTCTTTTCTTTCTCTGCCCCCTGCTGGTGCCTCCCCCTCCCCCTCAACCTTCTGGTACTTTTTGTCCTCGTGTCACCTGTCTTGCTTTTGCTTCTCTCTCCACACCTTTTGTTTTCTCTTTGCCTCTTCTTTGCACCTTTCTCAGTCATAGAATCATAGAACTGTAGAGGTTTTTTTGGGGGGGGACCACGAGGGTAATCCGGTCCACCCCCCTGCAATGCAGGAATCTTGACTCAAGCATTCCTGACAAAACGGCCACCCAACCTCTGCTCAAAAACCCCTGAGGAAGAAGAGTCCACAACCTCCTGAGGGAGTCTGTTCCACTGTTGATGTTTAGTCGGAATTTCCTTTCTTGTAACTTGAAGCCTGTGCTGGGCCCAGGGGTAACCCGAGAATCCGGTTCAGAATCCAAAGGTTCCGCTGGGAGTCAGTCTGAGGCAGGACACGAGGCAGGAAACCAGTCAAGGACAGGTACAGGATCTCAGGCATACAGCAATGTTGCTCCTGCAACCTGGGGTGGGGTCTGACAGCCTTTTATCTTTGTCGGGGTAACGGCTGGTCCTGATCTCCTGGCGACTCACCTCCCTGTTTCGCCCAAAGGCAAGCACTCCTCCTGCGAGTACTCAGGTCTCTCCTTCCCTCAGACCTTAGTCTCTGCAGCTCGGGAGACGTTGGTGGGTTACTAGACCCAGGGGCCGCCTCAGCCTCCCCTGACCAAGCCGGTAGTGGAGCAGCTGTAAGTGATGGCCCAGCTGAAGGCAACGAGGTAATCCCCGCATCTGGAGCCGGGGCAGGCTCAGGCCCCTGACTCGGCCCAGCTGGTGTTTGTTGCAGGGGCACCTGTGCAGACTGGGACTCTTCAGGATCAGGCCCCAGGCTTGGTTCAGATGATGCCTGAGGCAAAGGATCGGGTGCAGACTGAGACTCCTCTGGTCCGAGCCTGAGTCCCAGGCCATCACAAAGCCATTGGTTCTAGTCCTACCCTGCTCATGGCACATTTGTTGTGGACCCGTGCATCTTGTCTGCCATACAAAGGCAATCATTATTGCAGAAGAGGGAAATATTTGGCTATCTGCATGATGAAATCTAATTAAGTGCTTAAATGAGCTGGGGCTGACAAGCCTCCCCCCTCTCCCCCTGTCATATGCTTCCCATATCTTTGATACAATTGCTCGTTCAATTTGCAACTATTTACCTTTGTTCTGTTCCAGCTTCCAAAACCCTTTTACATAATGGGAAAATGTGGGAACATTACATTCAGGCCATCACACATATGTCAATGTCCAACTCCAACTCCTTGAAAGATCCCATCAACGGGGTCTCCAATTTTTTTTACATATCACTTGGGAAGACAGGCAAACTAATGCCAGTGTACTGAAAGAAGCAAAGATCACCAGTGTCGAAGCAATTTTTCTTCAACATCAACTTCGTTGGACTGGTCATATTGTGCAGATGACTGATGATCATCTTCCAAAGCAACTACTCTATTCCAAACTTAAAAATGGAAAGCGTAATGCTAGTGGTCTACAAAAGAGGTTTAAAGACTGTCTCAAGGCAAATCTTAAAAATGTAGTATAAACACCGACAACTGGGAAATGCTGGCCTGTGAGCGCAGCAATTGGAGAACAGCCTTTACCAAAGGTGTCATGGACTTTGAAGACGCTTGTACTCAGGATAAAAGGGAGAAACATGCTAAGAGGAAGGCACGCTTGGCAAACCCTCACTGTGATCAACTCCCGCCTGGAAACCAATGTCCCCACTGTGGAAGGATGTGGATTCAGACCTTTCCCATTGGTTGGGTCTGCGTTGCTCCCGAGAGGGGAGGAAGGAGTCAAGAGACACCAAGGTTGGTTCAGAGAAAGAGTTTATTATTTCTGCTCTCTGGAGCAGCAGAAAGGCACTGCGTGAATCGGTTCACTGCAAGCACAAAGAAAGAGAAATTGCATGCAGTATATATCCCCTCCAGACCCCCTCTCCCCCTTCCCCAGGAATCTAGCCTTGTGAGCTCATACACGTAAGTTGACATCCTTGAGCATCCTTGAGCATGAACAGATATCCCTGTTCCTGTGTGCTTATCTTGGGTCAAGAAGGTCACCCAGCTATGGGGTACTCCTGGCGCCATCTCCGGGAGCATGGGCTGACAGGCCTGACAGGCAAGGTCTGTGGATTTATATCCTACAAGATAAGACCCAGATCTTCCATCCCGTCTCCACTCGGAACTGACAAGGCCATCCGTCATTACCAGCCTTCATGGACTGATAAGGGAGACGGTTATGTTTGTACAGCTGGGTTCCTGTTATACATTGGCTCAAATTAATGGACTTTAGCTAATGGATCCTTGCAGAAGGGATTTGGGAGTTATTGGGGCCTGATTTGGGTAGCTCTGCGCAAGCAGGTTTCAGGCTTGGTTAACCTGTTCCTTCAGTATGGATCCAGAATTGGCCTCCACAGTCACTTATGGACTCACTGTTAAGGCCGTGTTCATTGAGGACAATCTTACTCAGCTATGAGTGATCGCCAAAGAAGAAGAAGAACATATGTCAACGAGTCATTACAGAACAGGCCATGCGCCCACCTCGGGCAACCTCACAATAGCACATTGTTTTGCTTTTAGCTCATGTATTGGGTGATCTACAAGGGAAGAATTCTGTGTTGATCACTGTGTGTAGGTTTGAGTGCCTGGAGGAGGAGGAAGGAATTGGAGCTACAGTGGTACCCCGCAAGACGAACGCCTCGCGAGACGAAAAACTCGCAAAACGAAAGTTTTTTTCGTTTTCGAGTTGCCTCGCAAGACGAATTTCCCTATGGGCTTGCTTCGCAAAACGAAGCTTGCCCCGGGGACAGCGGGTCTTCTCTTTTGAAGCAAGGGGCGGCGGGGAGAAGCGATCTTCTCCCCGCAGCCCCAGGTCCGGAGACAGCGGGAAGCGCTTCCCGCTGCCCCCGGACCTCTTTTGAAGCAAGGGGCTGCGGGGAGATCGCTTCTCCCCACTGCCCCTTGCTTCAAAAGAGGTCCGGGGACAGCGGGAAGCGCTTCGTGCTGCCCCCGGACCTCTTTTGAAGCAAGGGTTTGCGGGGAGAAGCGATCTCCCCGCAGCCCCTTGCTTCAAAAGAGGTCCGGGGGCAGCGGGAAGCGCAGCGCTTCTTCCCCGCTGCCCCCGGACCTCTTTTGAAGCAAGGGGCTGCGGGGAGATCGCTTCTCCCGGTGCTCCGAAGCCAGGCGGGGGGAGGGGGAGGGAACACCTGCCCCCACCGCCCGGCTTCGGAACGCTGCTCCGAAGCGGGGCGGGGGGGCGGGAACACCTGCCCCAGCCGCCCCGCTTCGGAACGCTGCTCCGAAGCGGGGCGGGGGGGAGGGAACACCTGCCCCAGCCGCCCCACTTCGGAACGCTGCTCCGAAGCGGGGGGGGGGGCGGGAACACCTGCCCCAGCTGCCCCGCTTCGGAACGCTGCTCCGAAGCGGGGCGGGGGGGCGGGAACCTCTCACCCCACCGCCGGGCATCGGAACGATGCCCCGATGCTGGGCGGTGGGGCGGGAACCTCTCCCCCCGCCGCCCGGCATCGGAACGATGCCCCGATGCCGGGCGGTGGGGCGGGAACCTCGCACCCCGCCGCCGGGCATCGGAACGAGGTCCTGGACCTCTTCTGAAGGCAGGCGGGGGCAAAAGTCTTTGCTCCCCCCGCCTGCCTTCCCGGGACAGCGGAGACTTCTCCGCTGCCCCGGGCGATGTTAAAATGCTGGCGGGCGGGAGCGAAGCGTTCGCTGCCGACCCCCAGCATTTTAAAATCTCCCCGGGGCAGCGGAGACTTCGCTCCCGCCCACCAGCATTTTAAAATCGCCCCGGGACAGCAGGGGCTTTTAAAATGCTGGCGGTCGGCAGCAAAGCCCTCCTGTCCCCGGAGCTTGCGGGGCGGGAGGTGGGAAGAAGGGCTTTTCTTCCCACCGCCAGCCTTCAGAACAGCCTTCTGAAGGCTGGCAGTGGGAAGAAAAGCCCTTGTCCCCCCCCAGCCTTCAGAAGAGGTCGGGGGACAGACTGTCCCCGGACCTGGTCTGAAGGCGGTTTCCCTAGGAACGCATTAATTGATTTTCAATGCATTCCTATGGGAAACCGTGCATCGCAAGACGAAAAACTCACAAGACGAAGAGACTTGCGGAACGAATTAATTTCGTCTTGCGAGGCACCGCTGTATTTCTGTTCTGAACATGGAAGGATGTTGGAATGGCTGTGAATAAGTAGAGCTAGTGACATGGCGCTGTCCATGCTAAATGCATCGCTTTACCTCTCATCTCAAGGCCAGGTGTGCAATAAATGTGGAGTGGATAAATTTTGTCCTTGTGGAACAGAGGATACGTGTTGCCAAACCAGGAGTAGCCTGCACATCTGTTATAATCACAGATGGCTTCTAGGATTCTAGACCAAGGGTTCCCGGAGTGAGTCTGTGGACCGTCAGAGGTCTGTGAGCTTCAGATGGTCTGCAGTGGCAACTCTGTGCGGTGACATAGCTTTGTGTGTGTGAAGAACGTTGTGTGTGTGTGGAATGGTGGATCAAGTCAAAAGCCCATCTGGCCCAATATTGCATTCTCACAGTGGCCAACCATGTTCTGGAAGCCCAGGACCTGGGTGGAAAAGCACTCTCTGTTCCCACCATATGGTATTCAGACTGACAGGCAGGGAAAATATATAGTCCTCAAGGCCAATAGCCATTCATACCCTAATTCTCCATGAATTTTGTTCTCTGCTTAGGAGGGCGGACATTTTCTCTTTAGGTTGTTACTCTAGGCACAGATTTTCACCTCAGTAGGCGAAACATAGCCAGGGATAAGGACCACAGACTAAACATTGAAACTGAAAACAAGGAGATGGTTTATTGATACAAAATGCTCAGTACAGTACAGAACTGATATTGTAGACCAGCGGGCGCCCACTTTTTTGGACGAGGGCACATCTCAAGTTTTGAGGGAGTGCTGTCGGTACCAGTAACAAAATGGCTGCCACAGGACCATAACAAAACATGGCTGCCATAATACAAAATGAGAGAGAATACAGTATTGATGAAGCTTTCCCCAAGACTGTATTTTCATACTAGAAGAGGCTTAGCCTGTTGGATTTCTGCCTGCCAGGCCATTGTTAAAAGCACTGTTTTCCCCACATGCCAACCCGCTCTCACCCCACAGACAGAAAGGCCCAAAGTTCTGTGGCCATTCCTCCCTGAGTGCCATTCCACAGCTCTTTGCTTGGATCTCATACAGTTGCGCGGGAAGTGCAAAAACAACTCCTCTTTTTCGGGGCATTGGGGGCGATTGGGGAGGGGGCTGTGAGGAGTCGTGCCCTCAAGATTCAGCAACTCAGTTCAGCTCCTTGCCCGACCAAGAAAAAGGGCCGGATTTCCTCCCCAAAGAAGGACGCGTTCGGGAAAGTGAAGATCAAGACATCTCCTTCGACATCAACAAATCCCACAGAACCCCTTTCGTAGTCCAGGGTCACCCGGATCTTCCTGAGCTCGTGATTCAACAGCAAAGGCGTCCGCTCAGGGGCGGTAAAAGCCCAAAGTCCATACAATGAGCCAACCATGGCTTTCCCGACAGCCCAGATTCCTACACTGGGTTGAAGGCTGACCTGTCCCTTCCTCGGGGTGGAGTCGCGTGCCACCCCCACAGCCCACGTGGCATTTTTCTCTCCCCCAACTTCCACCTCCCACCATTTTCTTACTGCACGGAATCTCTCGCTGCCCAGCACGTAGGTCTTCGGATCGAATCTCTTTCGGCTGTCGGGCAGATTTTGCCTTTCCCCTCCACATCGCACACTCCTCCTGTCTTCAGAGAGAATGAGGTAGTGATTTGCTGTTTCTGGATCCAAAACTATATTCACTGTAAGAGAGAGAGATTCACACACAGAGAAAGAGGGAGCCGGGTCAGTGTTTGAATTACAGGGCAAGGTGCATGTGTGGATCTATCTTTTGTGATACCCTATAGTTTTTTTATATGCCTGTTGTCTTTGTCCATGGAGTTTTCTGGGCAGGGATACTGGAGTGGCTTGCCGGCTCCTGCTCCAGGTTTTTTGGCTGGAGGAGACTCTTGAGAGTCCCATGGACTGCAAGAAGATCACACCTCTCCATTCTGAAGGAAATCAGCCCTGAGTGCTCACTGGAAGGACAGATCCTGGATCTGAGGCTCCAATACTTTGTCCACCTCATGAGAAGAGAAGACTCCCTGGAAAAGACCCTGATGTTGGGAAAGATGGAGGGCACAAGGAGAAGGGGATGACAGAGGACGAGATGGTTGGACAGTGTTCTCGAGGCTACGAACATTAGTTTGACCAAGCTGTGGGAGGCAGTGGAAGACAGGAGTGCCTGGCGTGCTCTGGTCCATGGGGTCACGAAGAGTTGGACACGACTAAACGACTAAATAACAACAATAGTTTTTGTGTGTTTAGGAAGCTACTGAGGGGGTTATGGGTTGGCTACAGTTCGGAGGGGTGGGTGGGAGTCAGGGCTAGGAAATGGCAAATTATCAATTTTTGGTTTCTTATGTTTTCTACTCCTAAATTCAGTTCTCCACATTTTCACATTGCTGTGTAAATTCTTTTCTTTTTTAAGTACTCACGAAAATCCATCTATGTTGCTAGCTAACGCTAACACTTTTTTTGCATGTTTGTACACATTACATCCTTGGAGAACTGAGCTGCAAAATTCGGAGTAGTGCAAATTTCGAAGGGATTTTTTAAAAAAGCACTCATGAAAATCCATCTGCGTTGCTAGTGCGAATTTATCCTAATACTTTTTTTTTTTTTGCATGTTTGTACACACTGCAGCCTTGGAGAACCGTGCTGCAAAATTCGGAGGAGGCTGACGTCGCAATTTGCATATACTTTCAGGAAGTGTGAATTAGGTATGATTCACCTTTCAGTGTGAATTGACCTGAATTTCTCCCCATCCTTAGTCAGAGCGGAGCTTATGGATTTCGTTAAGGTGGTGAGGCTCAGAGGGCAGTGACTTGCCCAAGGAACTAAGTTGGATACTGCATTCCTACACTTGCTAGCTTGGAAATGAATCCCTCTGAACTCCATAGAACCTATGTCTGGGCAGACCCAGGTGGGATTGCTCTGTGTATCTCCATCTGTTGGTGGAATGGGTGAACAGCCTCTGGAGCTATGAAGAAGGACCAGAGGGAAGAGGGAAGAGAAGAAAAAGGAGCAGGAGAGAGTTTAAAAAAGAGGGAGGGAATGGCTCAACCTCCCTTATGCTCTCTGATGGGTTTTTATTAGGTAAGTGTGGGAATATATTAACTATATTTTATCCCTCCACAGACACAAGTGTGTGAGTTAACAGATAAAAGAATCAGCTTATTGTTTGCTTATTGAGTTTAAATCCCAATTTAGGCAGTTTAATTCAAATCATAGGAATTAGCCATTAGGGTGATCTCCTCCTTTGCTTCCCCTGTTTATAAAAATGAACAAAACAAAAAGAAAGAAAGAAAAAAAAAGAAAAAGAAAAAGAAAAAAAAACAGGCCACAGACTGAAAAGTAAGTTTAAAACATATCATCCTTAGCAGCAACAGCATTAAAGATAATAGTTGTATTTTTAAAAAACAAACAGCTTCAGGCATAAAAGATAATACTTGTATTTACAAAAAACAAAACAAAAACAGCTTCAGGCATGCACCAGAATTTGGAGCAAGTGGAGGCATGTCTGCCTCCATTGTTGGTCGAAGGAAGAGAGAGAGAGAAGGAACAGGAAATATTTATTGGCTTCTTCCCCCTCAGGAGAGAAGGGGAAATGACACCACACACTGCCCTCTCTACCAATTATATTTCTATGGTCTGTGGCCTATCAGCAAGACAGCGCTATGGTCTTAACTCATTCACATGCTAACTAGTAAGTATGTACATTATTACTGTAGATTTAACTGCAAAATCTCCTCCACAAATTCTCTCTCACACACAAATAGGGGGGAAAAATGTCCCCAAGCAGCGTACCTGATGCTATCTTCCCAAATCTTCCCGAGTTGCTCTTCTCCCTCATGATGCAAATTTCACCTTGTTGTACGCTCTCTGGTGTTGAGGAGTGCAAGACAGAGCCAACTGCAGCAGCAAGGAACATGATTAGTTGGGGACATCTTTAAGAAATGGCCAAGACAGACACTTAACAGTTGTGCTTTGGTTGACTGAGGGAAACGATCAGGGATCAACCAAAGCAACACTGATGTTCCTCCCAGGAGGTCCTGCCTAAGGGAATTTTACGTTGAAAACAGCAAAGTGTTGTTAAAGGCAAGGTGTGAGGAGGCAAAGCACAACACGGGAAATTCAAGGAAGTAACCAAGATGTAGACTGCATGCCCACCGGGAAAGGACCTTGGAAATTGCCACAAGCAAAGTACAGGTGTCCTTTTACAAGTTTTCTTGCGCTTAAAGGGCTGCACCCGAGAGAGAGAGAGAGAGAGAGAGAGAGAGAGAGAGAGAGAGAGTTTGTATTGAAGCATTGTACAGTGGGTTGTGAACGTGATCCGTGCGGGAAACACGTTCGCAACCCGCAGTGTCCACAATCCACAGCGCCGTGTGTGCACAGGCACGGGTCGCGATTCGGCAGTTCTGTGCATGTGCAAAGCACGATTTAGTGCTTCTGCGCATGCGCAAGCGCCAAAACCTGTAACCCATTCCAGTACTTCTGGGTTCAGCATGGTGCACAGCCCGAAATCGTGCAACCTGAAGTGTCTGTAACCTGAGGTATGACTGTACTAGACTGGTTTCTCTTTGCTCATCCAAATTCTACCTTTGAAGTAAAAACCCATTGTCCCCAGTGTGATGGCCTGGGAATCCGATTCAGAGGATGAACTGGAGGAGTCCCAGCCTGCACAGGAGTCCCCGCCTCCAGGGCCGGCTGAAGTGGGGCAGGGCCTTGATTCTGAGGCGCCTGCACCTGTGCTGGATCCTCAGGAGCAGGCACCAGGTGAATCCATTCTGGCTCCAGAGGTAGTTGAGGACTCAGTGCCTAAAGGTGAGCCTCCCCCTGGGCCCAGTAACCCTTCAGCCTCTCCTGAACTGCAGAGGCTCAGGGCAGAGAGGCGAAGGGAACTGGTTTCTCCCAGGAGGAGTGCTCACCTTAAGGCCAGGGGAGGCGGGTCTCCTGGGGGCCGGGACCGCCCCTGGCCTCAGAGAAGATAAAGACCAGTCAGCCCGGTCCCAGGTTGCGGGAGCAATGTCGTCGTTGAGTACCTGCTCCTGTCCGGACCCAGACCTGACCCTCCAGTGTTCCTGTCCCCGCTCGGCTTCCTGCTTCGGACCTTGCCCCGCTCCTTGCGAACTGTTTCCAGGCTAGTGACCCAGGACCGGACTTCGACTACGTCAACGGTAACCTTCCCCCCGGGACCAGCACACCCAGTTTCTGTGAGAAGTGGTTGCTCCAACACTGAGGTCTGAGGGGGAGCCCACTGTGCTGCAGAAACATAACCAACATGTTCCAGATGTCCAAATGGACATTCACCAAACAGAAGAGTCCCTAAAACTTCCCCAAGACGCTAAGCTCAAAGTTGAAATCTTATACATGTTTACTCAGGACTAAACCACATTTTACTCAGGAGATCTTACGTCTGAGGAAGCCCAGATAGGGTTGAACCACATACCCCACATATCTGTGGGGAAGAGCCCTTGGGCTGGGAAGGGGAAAAGGAAGAAAGACCAGAGGGAAGAGGGAAATGAAAGTCTGGGAAACAGAGGGACAGGACAGAGGGTTTCTTAAAAAAAAAAAAAAAAAGTGGGTGGGAGAAAGGAAAGGAAAGGAAAGGAAAGCCAGTGGTTAAGAGCAGTAGCCTCGTAATCTGGTGAACCGGGTTCGCTTCCCCACTCCTCCACATGCAGCTGCTGGGTGACCTTGGGCTAGTCACACTTCTTTGAAGTCTCTCAGCCCCACTCACCTCACAGAGTGTTTGTTGTGGGGGAGGAAGGGAAAGGAGAATGTTAGCCGCTTTGAGACTCCTTTGGGTAGTGATAAAGTGGGATATCAAGTCTAAACTCCTCTTCTTCTTCTTCTCCCCCCCCTTTCTTTGTCTCACAAACACAAAATATCAAAAGTCACAAAGCAACGTACCTGATGACACTCTCCGGAGTGCTCCCAATCTGCTCCCCTGCCTCCCTGTCCTGTCGTCCCCTTCCCTCATGCTTGCTGACCTGAAGGAGGGCTGGAAGGAATCACCTGCAGCAGCAGCAGCAAGCAACACAACTGGTTGGGGGCATCCTTAAGAAATGCTCAACTAAGATGCAAACAGTTTTAGGGACGCGATCGGGGACCAACCAAAGCAATACTGGGGAAAATAGTTCAGGGTTCTTCCCACTGAACTTTGCCGTGACAACAGCCAAGTGTTGCTGGGTGTTGTGAAGGGGTGGGGGTGGGTAGTGGGAGGCAAGGCACAGGGCAGGAAGTGGCAAAGGTGTGGACCACATGTGCAGCTGTGGGAGACCTCAGAAGCTGCTATGGGAAAGGACAGGTGTCCTACAGGTGTGCAGCCTGGGAGTCATTTTGGACTCACAGCTGTCCATGGAGGCGCAGGTCAATTCTGTGTCCAGGGCAGCTGTCTACCAACTCCACCTGGTACGCAGGCTGAGACCCTACCTGCCCGCGGACTGTCTCGCCAGAGTGGTGCATGCTCTAGTTATCACCCGCTTGGATACTGCAATGCGCTCTATGTGGGGCTACCTTTGAAGGTGACTCGGAAACTACAACTAATCCAGAATGCGGCAGCTAGACTGGTGACTGGGGGCGGCCGCCGAGACCACATAACACCGGTCTTGAAAGACCTACATTGGCTCAGAGTACGTTTCCGAGCACAATTCAAAGTGCTGGTGTTGATCTTTAAAGCCCTAAACGGCCTCGGCCCAGTATACCTGAAGGAGCGTCTCCACCCCCATCGTTCTGCCCGGACGCTGAGGTCCAGCGCCGAGGGCCTTCTGGCGGTTCCCTCATTGCGAGAAGCAAAGCTACAGGGAACCAGGCAGAGGGCCTTCTCGGTAGTGGCACCCACCCTGTGGAACGCCCTCCCATCAGATGTCAAAGCGATAAATAACTACCTGACATTCAGAAGACATCTTAAGGTAGCCCTGTTCAGGGAAGTTTTTAATCTGTGGTATTTTAGTGTATTTTTGGTTTCTATGGAAGCCGCCCAGAGTGACTGGGGAAACCCAGCCAGATGGGCGGGGTACAAATAATAAATTATTATTATTATCATTATTACAAGCAGGGGTGTACAAAGTCGGGGGCGGAGGGGGCAGTCCTGTTAGGATTCTTGCTCTGTGTTTGCAGTCATGAGATTGTTGTCTATCACATGACGGTGTATGTTTTCATTCCACAGAGTGGGAAGTGACGGAGACAGGATGTTTATATTACTGTATTCCATGAAGTGGGACTATTGTCCTTAGCTCCTTCCTCTTTCTCATCAGACAGCAAAGAGAGAAAGAACAAAGTCAGAATGCTCCAAGTGTATTATATGTAAATAAAGTAGATTAGCCAAAATGCTGTGCTACTGAGTTCTGTTACGCGAACTGCAAATACTCTGTAGGATCGTAAGTGTGCTGACTCCACTTGGTATCAGTCGCTGTGATGTTCGGGCTGGAGAAAGCTTTTGAAGCTCCCGAACAACTGACCAGGAGAGAGAGAACATGCCAGTTGGGCATGTGTCCCTACCAGGGTCCTACATGAGTGTAGGATGATCCTAACTGGGCCTCCCCAGGTGCCACTCTGGGGGTGTGCATGACAAGATGGCCCCTGCCTGCCCCCAGCTGTAGAGCGACCGAGGGCGTGCACAGTCAATATGGGCACCACTCACATGGTGTCAGTACGAGCTGCCACTCTCTCACGCCATCCATATGGGATGCCGCACATGTGCAGTCCAAATGGATGTGCGTGCCACCGGGCGGTTTGCCCCGCCCCTTGGCGTCCCGACCCGGGTGCCAGAGAGGGTGGTGGGGTGGGCAGGAGAAAAGGAGCATGAGCACTGGCTCTGATGCCTCTGCCAGAGGAGACTCAAGGCTTTGTACCAGCACAAGCACCAACTCTATGGGAATGAGGACACCTCAGCCCCCCCAAAGTCTGTGGGAATGGGTCTGAGCCTCCCAATCTTGAGAGGCTGGGCCACGGCGGCAGCCCTGATGGGCTTCCCTGTGGTGGTGGCAGGTCCCACCAGGCCTCCCCACAATGGCAGAGGGCCCCACCGGGCCTCCTCCTGACTTACGTGACATCACACATGTGTGTTGCACTTCTGACATCATGAGCATGCAACGAGGTGCCCCCTCCCCCATGTTGGGCAGACCTTGGCGCCTCTGCTTACCAGCAACCTGCAAATTTATTTTTCTAGCATTTTCCTTCTACCGTATTTTTCGCTCTATAGGATGCACCTTGTTTTAGAGGGGGAGAACAAGAAAAAAAATTCTCCCCCTCTCTGCTCAGCGCCCCTTCAGCGAAGCGGCAGGAGAAACGGAGCTCCTTCCATTTCTCCTCCCATTTGGCTGAAGGGGCACCGCGCAGCTCTCCCTCTCTGCTGAAGCCGGGAGAGTCTTGCTCTCCCGGCTTCAGCAAAAGGAACCCAAAGCCTTTGGAGCGCAGTGCGAGGTCCCGCTGCGCTCCAAAGGCTTCAGGCGGCTATCCCTGAAGCCTGGAGAGCAAGAGGGGTCGGTGTGCACCGACCCCTCTCGGTCTCCAGGCTTCAGCGGTAGCAATACGAAGCCTCTGGAGCGCAGAGGGAGCGCTCCCTTTGCGCTTCAGAGGCTTCGCGTTGCTATCGCTGAAGCCAAGGAGCCTGCATTCGCTCCATAGGACACACACACACTTCCCCTTAATTTTTGGAGGGGGAAAAGTGTGTCCTATAGAGAGAAAAATATGGTATATCCACCCACAGACACATATATGTCCCCTCACCAACTCTCTCTCTCTCTCTCTCTCTCTCTCTCTCTCTCTCTCTCTCTCTCTCTCTCATTTACACACAAAAAACCCCCTATAAGTAAGAAAGCAATGTACCTGATGATACCCTCTGGAGTTTTCTCGAGCAAATTCTCCCTTCATCTTGTTGCGCACTCTCTGTCCTTGAGGAGAGTAGCAATGAGTCAGCTGCAACAAGAAGAAATTGCTTGTGAGGTGCCCTTAATAAATGCTCAGCTAAAGGCTTGTCAACCCTTCCATTTGTCCCATGCCTAGAAAGGATGCATCTGGGTGATTTTGTGCTTCCCAGGCATGGCTCTAAGCGGTTTTGCCTTTGCCTCGCCGCTTTCTCAGGGGAAAACCTGCTCTTTGGTGATAAATTGGAACAAACGACCATCTGCAAATGAGAGAATGTGGGCCTTAGCTCTGAAGACTGCCGGGGCACAGTCACTGCCCTACCAGTTGTTAATAAAGAGCCTCTTCCGCATCTCATGTTAACTTTTTTCAAGAAGAATTCTTGATATTGAAGAGAATTTCAATAAGGGCTATACAGAATGTACCAATATTTGTTTGCTTGTCAGATGTGAACCCTTGCCATTAGCACAAATACCCCCTTCTTGGTCTTACCCCAAGCACCCCCTCCCTTCAAAATCCTCCCATCTCATTCAATCCCAGAATATTACCCTTATTCTGTACTTCTTCCAGGGACTCTGTTATAAAGAAGAAAGAGGGAGAAATTTATTTATTTTATTTATTGAAATCATTTTTATTGATTTTTCCATGTATACTACTTCTAACAATATATCTTTAACAATTTTTCATATTTTGACCCTCCTCCCCTGGACTTCCCTCATACTCCTGTTTTGTTTTATTTCCATATTGTTCACCCTGCATATTGTTTCCCCAAAATTTTCTCAATACATATAGTCTTATTTTTCATTGTATACAGTTGTGATTGTTTGCTGCCTGAAGACTGTTTCCGACGGCTGAATCCCAGCAAGCCATAAAGAGAATCAGAGCACGAGGGTTGATTCCTGTTTTGAATCCAAGGCTGTGGCTATGGGAAAAATAAGACTCTCTTGGAGTGTCTGTGTCTGTGCTGTGAACCACTCCATCATAGATTCAGATTGTATATATGTGTAAATAAACCATATACAGTGGTACCTCGGGTTACATATGCTTCAGGTTACATATGCTTCAGGTTACATACACTTCAGGTTACAGACTCCGCTAACCCAGAAATAGTGCTTCAGGTTAAGAATTTTGCTTCAGGATGAGAACAGAAATCATGCTCCGGCGGCGCAGCAGCAGCAGGAGGTCCCATTAGCTAAAGTGGTGCTTCAGGTTAAGAACAGTTTCAGGTTAAGTACGGACCTCCAGAACGAATTAAGTACTTAACCTGAGGTACCACTGTATCCTAAAGACACCACAGTCTCTGCTGTGCCTCATTTGCTAATAGGAAACTCAAACCCTGGGGAAGCAGTCTGGGACCCCGGAATATTCACCGTTTGGAAATTGGCATGGCATGCAACTATATCTATCTATCTATCTATCTATCTATCTATCTATCTATCTATCATCTATCTATCTATATCTATCATCTATCTATCTATATCTATCTATCTATCTATCTATCTATCTATCTATCTATCTATCATCTATCTATCTATATCTATATCTATATCTATCTATCTATCTATCTATCTATCATCTATCATCTGTCTATCCATCTATCTATCTATCTATCTATCTATCTATCTATCTATCATCTATCTATCATCTATCTATCATCTATCTATCATCTATCTATCATCTATCTATCTATATCTATCATCTATCATCTATCTATATCATCTATCTATCATCTATCTATCTATCATCTATCATCTATCATCTATCATCTATCTATCTAGCTATCTATCTATCATCTATCTATCTATCTATCTATCTATCTATCTATCTATCTAATCTATCCCACATCTATAACACCACACAATGACCCTTGTTACCTTTAAATTTCTTGGTCTCCTTCTCCAAAAAAGGATGTATTCTAGAGAATTTATCTATTTGCTCTTTTAATCCAGGAGGAAAAACTATTGCATTCATGGTTTTATTTTTATTTTCATTACACCTAGGAAGAAGAAAGTGAGGTTTATTGTGATCCATCTGGTCATTCTCAAGTCATTCTTAATTCAGTCAGAATGAAGGAGAAAAGTGGGAGCAGCAGGAAGATACCAAGGGCTCGTCCATGATAGGTTTGTCTTTCATTCCCCCCATTTTCCCCACGAAAGTCTCCTCTGTTTACCACTGAATCGGAACAAAGGTCAGTCGGGTTTTCTGTGGGTTGACAGTGAAATAGAACCAAGCATTCATTGGGTTTTCTGCTGATTTATGTTTCTTCCAATTCAGTGGTAAGCAGCAAGTTTTCCCCGAAAAAGCGGCGGGACAAAAGAAAAGCTTCTCCGACTTGTTCCTAGAAATCTCAGGAAAAGCAGACGTGTGGCTGAGCCCTGTGATAGCAGCTAATGGTATTGTCTGCCCTGTGACCATTACAAAGACCTATGACAAACTGGGAAATGAAGTATAATGCGGGGGGCGGGGATAAAGTGTAAATTTACATAAACATTTTTTTTCATATAACATTTACATATAAATGATCAATCTGTAATATATTTTACCTCTCTCTTATTTATTTTTAAAAAAACAAACTTTATTGTTAAGAAATATTTTCAAACAATGTGTCTGAAATTTTGACGCACACATTGCATACCGTACCATGTTAAAAATTACACCTGGGTCAGAAGCACCTGGTTAACTAAGTTGTGATTTGTTGCTGCTTCTGCCTGATCAGAACAGGGTATAAATCGGCCCAATTTGGTAGAGGATCCAGCTGAACCTGGAGCACAACCTTAATGAATATTTTCTCCAACAAATTATGTCTGTACATAATGTATACAGTAATTAATTAAGAGCATCTCTTTACCCTGGCATTTCTCATCTAGGATAGGTATTTTAGGACCCACCCAGTTTTCTTGGATTGTAATTTGTTTTAACTATTTTTAATATTGTATTTTAATTCACAAGCTGCCCTGGAACCTGACAGTGGAGGGCAAGTAAGAAATCTAATAATCCACCGCCACCACCAACTCTGATAAGATATGAAGTATACAGTAGATGAAGAAATATCATCAGTTCTTCCTAAAATATACATCTTATATGCACCCCCCCAAAAAAAAATCCTATCCATTTTTGTATGTTGGTCTATGCATCCCCCAATGTGCTTTTTGTACATTTCCCCGCATGGGATACACAGTTTTGGGTGGGTTTTTTAAACCAAAACATGCCTCACAAAATGTGTAAAAGTGTGCAATCAGATTTGTAACTGTTTTCTGATCTGCTTATTGGTTTGTAAACTGTGAATTAGATTGGTTCACATAAAAGTATAGACCAAATAAAATTATCCCTTACCTCCGACGAAGGAAATTAATATTATTCATTTTCATATCAAAGCCACATACCTTTCTAGGATGCTTCTCATATTCTAGATGGAAGAGACAGAAGGAGATAAATTCAGTCCCTTGCACCAGTTGCCTCCAGCAGTTTATTAGTTTCCCCTTTGCTTTATATATCAACCAAACATCAAAGTGTACACGCCTACTTTAAATAGTGTGGTGTAGTGGTTAAGAGCGGTAGTCACGTAATCTGGGTAACCGGGTTCGCGTCTCCGCTCCTCCACATGCAGCTGCTGGGTGACCTTGGGCCAGTCACATTTCTCTGAAGTCTCTCAGCCCCACTCACCTCACAGAGTGTTTGTTGTGGGGGAGGAAGGGAAAGGAGAATGTTAGCCGCTTTGAGACTCCTGAAGGGGAGTGAAAGGCGGGATATCAAATCCAAACTCTTCTTCTTCTTCTATAGACCAATGAACAGCCCTTCCCCAGAGGACAACCTGGACGGTTTCATTGTGCCATTGCTCACCGGCAAGAATTCATTCACTGGCTGCTTCTCTTTCTCCTCCAGCTGCGTAATTAAACTACAAAAGCCCAGACATTTACTTCTAAATTTGAAAATCCCCCCGAATGGGCATGTAGGCCCCCCTCTCTGCCCCAGAACCCCACCCCCAGTTATGCTTTGTCATGGAATGGGATCTTCTGCCAACTCCAAGTGTTCCCAGGCTTTGCTCTGCTGCTGGCTCCCACCACTGGTGCTGCCAGCCTGAGAGCAGATGTCTACCTGCTACTGCTGACAATGTATACTGCTCTACACACAACAGCAAGGGCATGTTTGAATTGGGTAGAGGGAGAACTCAACTGGCCAGTGTTGCTGGTGCCATTGCCAGTGCTAGCACAAAAACTCCCTGGATCCAGTGTAATTTGGCAGGCTTCATCCATACTGCAGGAGTGGCTTTGCCTGCAAATTCCATCCACTTCTATCAAACCTGAATCATGCAGTTTGATGAAGCTCCAAATCACAGCTTTGAACAAAATGTGTGACCAGTGATATCCCTACTATGAATACTTCTATAAACCAACAGACAGAGTGATTGAGGGTACAACCCTTCCCTGCAGGACAACCTGGACTATTTTGTCATACTCTTACCTGCAAGAATTCAGTCACTGGCTGTTTCTGCTTCTCCTCCAGCTCCTTAATAAGGTCGTCAATAGAAGACATTTCCTCAGAGAGTTTTGCAATATGTTGGTCCTCACAGGATTTAATCTCATTGTCCAGTTCCTTCAGTTGAGCCAGCAGGAGGTGCTCTTGTTCTTCCAGAAACTGGTGCGACTGCTGGAAATCAGCCATGATTTTCTGCCTCTCCATGTCTGTCTGCTTCTGCAAGGAGAGAGTCATGGCCAGACAAAGACATTTAGATGTCACTTTGATTCCATGTGCGCAAGCTGACTGGCAGGGCAGTTGATGTTTACTTCAACACTCACAATGGTACAGAAGTTCAGTCACAGTTGAGGGCGGCAGGCAGGCTAAATTAGCAGGACACGGCCTCTTTGCTTGCCTCAGTCCTCAGTATTTTCCTGCTGCTCACCTACTGATCTATTAGCTGCTGCTGCTACTCTCTATTCCCTGGCATCTTCAGCCTGCCTTGGCCACCTCACTCTGCCTAATGGTAGGGCCGTGAGGAAGTGACGAGAAGGAGGAAGACTGGCTTTGTGGAGTTCATTCTTAAAGGATTAATGCTGGCATGGTTGGATATTTTTGGACTCAAGGACTACATTCGCCCCTGGACAACCCTACCAATTTTAGCCTATCCTGCTGAATGTTGCCTAACCTTTCAGGCAGCTGCTCTTCAAGGTCTGAAGCAGAAACCTTTCCCAACTCTACCACCCATTATCCATTTAATTGAGAATGCCAATTATCAAACCTGGGACACTGTGCAAGTGAAGCATAGGCTTCACCACAGAATGAAGGCCTCACTCTGTCAGGTATAAGCATCCTAGAGAGGCAAGAAGATTTGCACCTACCAGCAGATTCTGGCTTTCAGTCTCCCCCTTCAGTTTAGAAGACAGAATTTCTTCTCTCCATTTGTTCAGGAACTCCAAATGATGCCGAATTTTCCCCTGGGGTGGCCGAAAAGGCATTTGGGTTAGTTTTGGCAGCACAGATATAAACTGTAACAGGCGTGTCTGTTCAAGAAACCAAGAACACAAAGGTTGAAAAGAGTCTACGTGCAGCTTCTAGGAAACTTCCGTTCTCAATGTGGAATTAGATCAGCGTTCACATATGCATATCTATATAGAACTTTGCTTCAGGATAAGAACTTTGCTTCAGGATAAGAACAGAAATTGGGCAGCGGCAGCGCAGCAGCAGCAGCAGGAGACCCCATTAGCTAAAGTGGTGCTTCAGGTTAAGAACAGTTTCAGGTTAAGAACAGACCTCTGGAACGAATTAAGTACTTAACCTAAGGTACCACTGTACAGTGGTACTTCGGTCTATGAACTTAATTTGTTCTGGAAGTCCATCTTAAACCAAAGCGTTCTTAAACTGAGGTGTGCTTTCCCTACTGAGGCTTCCCGCTGCTGGCGCCCTTCCACTGTTTGGCTTCCATTCGTCTTCTGAGGCAAAGTTCACTAGCTGGAACACCTACTTCCAGTTTTGTGGAGTTCGTTGTCCAAATAGTTCATTAACAGGACTGTTAATACACCGAGGTACCACTGTACAAGATAGGAACTGCAGGCCTCACTATCTGGCCAGTGGCGTAGCATGGGTTGTCAGCACCCGGGGCAAGGCAAGTAATTTGCGCCCCCTAACCCGTGGATTTGCGCCCCCTAACCTGTGGATTTGCCCTAACCCCAGATGTTGCGCCCGGTGCGGCCGGCCCCCCTGCACCCCCCACGCTACGCCACTGTATCTGGCCTCTCCCCAGGCTGCAACATTCGCCAGCTCCAGTTCACATCCTCCTCGAGTCTTTTTTGCCTGGCCAGAATGTGTCCCTGAACTCCACTAATGCTTCCCGCTTACTTAGATGGCGAACAGAGATGGCAATGAGAGCGTTTGTAGGAACTAGCCTACTGCAAAAAGGTGAAATTTGCAAGTGTTGCTCTGTCCCCTTTTGCCTCAGGACCCAATAACCAGCAGCGTTTGGGACACAAACACCCACCCACCCACCCACCCCACCTGAATGTCGCCTAGAGAAAAACGCAGCCCTCAGGCTGAAATATTTTCCCCATCCCTAGGATAACTGAGCATCCCTTGAAAGCTTGGTCCCCAATCCTACAGCTCCCTACCTGATACTCCTCAAAGGCCTCCTCCTTCGGGATCACCTTGTGGTCCCTGTGCTCCTTGGATTTGTCACACACCACACAGATGGGGTCTTGGTCATCTTCGCAGAAGAGCTTCAGGGGCTCCTGGTGTCTCTCGCAAACCCTTCCCAGCGCTTCCGCCCCTTTTGCCATCTGAAGGCTGAATTTCTTGACTATTTCCACAATGCTCGCCAGTTGCTGGTTGGGCCTGACATTCCTTTGCTCACAAGGTTCCCTGCACTGAGGGCAAGAAGCATCTTGGTCCGATTCCCCCCAAACCTCGGTGATGCAGGTTTGGCAGAAAATGTGGCCGCAGTCTATGATCACCGGATCTGTGAAATACTCCAGGCAGATGGAGCATGTTGTTTCCTCGCAGAGGTTCTGGACTGGACCCTCGTCTGCCATTTCGTCTGCCTGAAAAGGGAGTAAAAGGCTTAGTTTTATTTCTCTAGTTTCAAACCACAGGATGGGCATTTCCCTTCCTCTGGGTGACTCATAGTTTTTGAAAAGCAGCAGCATGTACTGGAAGAAACTCTTACAGTGTGCAACTTTCACATCCTTACCATGCATTCAAAGTGCATGGTGTCTGCCAAAGAAATTTGGCAATGGACGTTTACCCCAAAAAGCTACACCTCCCAGCACCTTTAAAAATAAATAAATCATTTTTCTGTTTCATTCATCTCAAATTCTTAACATTTACTATATATTTCTCCCTCCCCCCCCCAGGTTTCCCTCAACTTCCGCTTCTGGTTCGTTTCTATTTTCACCCACTTTGCTATCTCCTAACAGAAAAAGTTATTAATAACATAACATCAAGCCTAAAAACATAAAAATAAAAGTAAATGCACCATCATATTTCACCATCTTCTAAACATTTTCTAATGCTAATAATGTACATCCTGCCATCAAGTCTAGTGACTTTCTTTGTTTCTGCAAATATAATATGCATGGTTCCCAATCTTTTTCAAAGTCTCTGTCGTCTTTTTTTCTTAGTCTATCTCTCAATTTTGCCAGTTCTGCATAGTTCATCAACTTCTCTTGCCATTGTTCTTTAGTTGGTGTTTCTCCAGTCTTCCAATTTTGTGCAATCAACATTCTTGCTGCTGTAGTGGCATACATAAATAAAGTCCTCTTTTCCTTTGGTATGTCTTGACCTAAAATACCTAACAAAAAGGCTTCTGGTTTTATTTTTTACAAAAGTTATTTTCAATATGTTCTTCAATTCATCGTATATCATTTCCCAGTAGGATTTTACCTTTTTACAAACATATGATAAAACGTACCTTCTGTTTAACATCTCCAACACTCTTTCTTTTCGTTTTTATACATTTTTGCCAATTTAACTGGTGATAAATACCATCTGCACATCATTTTCATATAGTTTTCTCTCAATAATATGGAATCTGTAAATTTCAAATTTACTTTTCACAATTTTATCCAGTCCTCAAATTGTATATTATGTCCTACATCTTGCGCCCATTTGATCATTGCTGATTTTACTTCTTCATCTTTGTCTCCCACATTATATGCCTTTTTAAATAATTTTGTATTTTCTTCTATCACTTCCATTTGGAAGTTGGAAACTGAATATGAGAAGCCTTTTTTATTATCCTCCTTAAAAATATCCTGTAATTGTCTATGATGCAACCAGCTTTGAAGATGGTTCTTTTATTTCATCATATTGGATCCCTCTTGTTCCACAAGCAGTTCTCTATATGTTGGCCACTCTCCTCCCCCCCCCCCCATATTTTAAGTGATAGTGCTTCAATAGGTGATAGCCACCAAGGTGTTTTCGGTTCTAATAAATCTTTATATTTCTCCCATACTTTGAACCATGATTTTCTTATTAAATGGTTGTGGAATCCTTTATGTACTTTTGCTTTTCCATACCAGAGGTAGGCATGCCATCCAAATCTATTCTCATGTCCTTCCAAGTCTGTTATTTCCTTCCCGTCTAACTTGGTCCAATCTCGGATCCATATTAGGGATGCAGCTTCATAATACAATTTTAAGTCTGGAAGTGAGAATCTACCTCTTTCTTTCACATCTGTTAAAATTTCGTTTTTTATCCTTGGCTTTTTCCCATTCCAGACAAATCTTGATATTTCTCTCTGCCATTCTTTAAAGCATGCATTCCCTGCTATTACTGGAACAGTTTGGAAGAGAAATACAGTGGTACCTCAGGTTAAGAACTTAATTCGTTCTGGAGGTCCGTTCTTAACCTGAAACTGTTCTTAATCCACAGCACCACTTTAGCTAATGGGGCCTCCCGCTGCCACCGCACTGCCGCCGCACGATTTCTGTTCTTATCCTGAAGCAAAGTTCTTAACTCGAGGTACTATTTCTGGGTTAGCGGAGTCTGTAACCTGAAGCGTCTGTAACCTGAAGCATCTGTAACTCAAGGTACCACTGTAACATCCTTGGAAGTACATTCATTTTTATAGTTGCAATTCTTCCCATTAAAGGGAGGTTCATCCTTTTCCATGTTTCCAAATTTCTTTTAATTTCCTGCCAAATTTTTTCATAATTATCTTTTAAAATATCTATATTTTTTGCTGTTATCCATATTCCTAAATATTTTACTTTTTTATATGCCTCTATCCCTACCATCTCTGTTACCATATTTTCCTCTCTATAGGACGCACTTTCCCCCCTCCAAAAATGAAGGGGAAATGTGTGTGCGTCCTATGGAGCGAATGTAGGCTTTCGCTGAAGCCAGGAGAGCGAGAGGTGCGCACCAACTCCTCTCGCTCTCCAGGCTTCAGGCAGCTATCCACAAGCCTTCAGAGTGCGACGGGACTTCCCGCCGGGCTCCGAAGGCTTGCGGATAGCAGCCTGAAGCCTGAAGCCCAGGGAGCACAGAGCATAGAGACAACTCCGCTGCGTACCACAGGCTTCAGGCAGCTATCTGCAAGCCTTCGCAGCCCGGCGGGAGTTCCTGCCGGGCTCAGAAGGCTTGCGGATAACAGCAAGCTCCGGGAGCGAAGGTGAGGTCACTCGCAACCTCGCCCCCGCTCCTGGACCCGTTCTGGGGGCTGGGGTCGGGGGAAGCTCGGGCTTCCCCCGCTCCAACCCCAGCCCCGCGGCTAAAGACGAAGCCAAGACAGCGAGCGGGATCCATCCAATTCCCCCCCTTTATCCCCCCCCCTAAAATCTAGGTGCGTCCTATGGTTCTGTGCGCCCTATAGAGCGAAAAATATGGTATTTATTTCTTTTCCATAGTTTTTGCAAGGAAATGGCTTCGGAAATATTTTTCACCCTGCTTGGGAAGGTGGGGGCGGGGGGGGGGAGGAAGTAGACAGACCAAGGCTGCACTGCTCCAGTAAATATGCATCACAAATGGAATGATTCCTTTATTCTCCAGTGGTAAACATTTACTGTTTTATTCATGTTCAGATGTTAATGGTGTTTCCTTTCACTATGATGTCTTTATTAATACAAAACTGCAAAACAACAACAGCACAAAATACACAAAACAGAAGCGTTGCTGAATGTCGGATTTCCCCTTCTTTGGAAATAACTGCAGACTTTTTCATATATAGAACTCAGGAAACTCCACTGAGTGTTAATGAAACAGGAACAATAAAACTGAAACCTCCTTTCCGCGAACCTCAAATTTGTAAGTGGCCTCGTCTCTGTTCCTGCCGAGAATGAATAAGGTCGCCCCACTACTTGTACCTCACTATTCCGAACTAAAATGAAAAGGTTTGCTTTTTTTCCAATGAAAGGTCAATTTGCCAGTCTTTACCCTCCTTCACACTTACTTTATTGGGAAGTTTAGTCTTGTATGCCATGTCCCAAATTGAATCAGGGCTTCATTTGGGTTTTTTGTTTTTTGTTAATCGTTGAGCCATTACCAACAACAGACTCGCACAAACTACACATCAGGGTAGCAGAGCCATAGTGTAGTTGAAATCCCATCAGCCCCAGAGAGAGCAAGAAGGGGAACAATGTTGTTCCCCAAAACAACAGGAGGCCATGATCCAGATTTGCCCCAAGACAGACAACTTGCAGGGGGGCAAGGGGAGAGAGAAGGAAGAAATTGGTGGCTGCACATGGCGGCAATGACACAGCATGTCAGAATCCATCCATTACAAACTCCCTGTAAAGGGGGGGGGCACTTAGAGTGCTGAACCCTTTCGCCATCACACATACAACCTTCCCTGCCAAAGGCACTTTTGCCAGACATTTCCTGCCCATGTAAGGAACCTACACTGGGGGGAAGCAGCTGGGAGGTTTTTGGGATAGGAGGGGGAAGAAAGTCTAATGGGGTGGGTGGGAAAAGGGTCCAATGCCTTCTTTCCTTCCACCTACCCCTCCCTTGCTTTGAAGGATTTGGCCCAACCAAGTGAGTTTTGCTACTGTCAGATGGCTCTTGATTGCATCCAAGGACAACCTCATTTCATTACCCCACACTGAGCCAGGAGCAGACCCCCTCCCCAGAGAACATTTTGTTGTTGTTTAGTCGTTTAGTCGTGTCCGACTCTTCGTGACCCCATGTACCAGAGCACGCCAGGCACTCCTGTCTTCCACTGCCTCCCGCAGTTTGGTCAGACTCATGCTGGTAGCTTTGAGAACACTGTCCAACCATCTCGTCCTTTGTCGTCCCCGTCTCCTTGTGCCCTCCATCTCTCCCAACATCAGGGTCTTTTCCAGGGAGTCTTCTCTTCTCATGAGGTGGCCAAAGTATTGGAGTCTTGGCTTCAGGATCTGTCCTTCCAGTGAGCACTCAGGGCTGATTTCCTTGAGAATGGATAGGTTTGATCTTCTTGCATTGGTGAAAGTGAAGGTGATGCTGTGAGAGTCAGTGTCAGAAGAGAGAACTGATCTGTTTTTATAGCTGACACACACATGGATCCTCTTGGACTGGAACTTCTCCAATTTACAGGTTGTACTGGTGCAATGGCCCCAGGGATATTCCAGGAGCCGTGGATAGCTAATAATCACCAAGAGAAGTCTGGACGATAGCCCAGATCCCATGTCCAGCATTCAAACTGACCATATTTCATCAGCCTGCTGTTATCTGCAGCTTGTCTCGTCTTTATAAACACTGTTGGGTCATTTTTAGTAATAGTTGGTATTACTCCTTGCAGTCTATTTACCAATATCGCTGTTAAGATTTTTGCATCAATGTTTATCAACGAAACTGGGCGATAGTTGGCACATTGCGTCAGGTCCTTGCCGGGCTTTGGAATAACAGTAATCTAAACCTGGTTGAATAATGTCAAGATGATTCCATCTTTAAATATCCCATCATATAACTGATATAATCTAGGTCAGTGTTTCCCAACCTTTTTTGGGCAAAGGCACACTTGTTTCATGAAAAAAATATCGAGGCACACCACCATTACAGCCCCGTGACGTCAGCGTGCAGCGTCACGCCAGGAGGGACATGAATTGCTAGCAAATTACATAATCACCTCCTTGAGGGCTGGCTCATCTTCTCCGAAGGCAGAACCCCATTAATTAACAGCACAGACTCACACCATAGCCAAGACGAGGGGGGAAAACCTCAGTCATGCACAGTCATGCAGATGTGGGGGCTAAATGAGGACGAAGACCGGGCAGAGAGCAGGGTTCAAATCACCCCACCTGGCCAGGACAATCCCTGGGTGCTCCCTTGGGCCACTCGCCTGACCCACCTCGCAGGGCTGTTGTTGCGAGGATAACACGGGGAGAACCACGCGCGCCCCCGGGAGCTCCTTGGAGGAGAAAGCGGGCGATGAATGCAATGCACGAAATATATGAGAGGCGACCAGGTTTTGCAGGTGAGGGGCCCCCGCCAGCCTCCGCTTCCAACACCCAGCGCAACGACGCCGAAGTTTCCCCCCGGGCTCGGCTCGGGGAGCAGCGCTGCTCCCCCCCGGCTCCCCTTCGCCCTCCCGGCTCTCTCTGCCGCCCACTGGGGAGCCCCCTCACCTGCCAAGTCCGGAGCGCCGGTGGAAGTTGCATGCATGCATGCAGGGCGCCGCGTTGCCATTGCATTGCACTGCACTCCATGCAACGCCTGCACGCATGCATTGCCTTGCACGCACGCCAAGGGGTCTCCCCGCGGTCTGATGCGTCCCCTCCGGCGCGGATGCAGCATTGCAAAAATAAAAAACCCCCGACGCAGCCCTACCTGGGGGGCAGCCTCCGCCGCTCCGCCTCCGCGGGGATCCCCGGGCTCCATCCTGCCGCCCGATCTCCGCGGGGGCGCAGGCAGGCTGCGCGGGGTCTGCGCGGAAGAGCCCCTGCCCGCCCGGCCGCCGCCGCTGCGCTCATTTCATGGCCGGGAGAAGAGCGCTTCAAACAAAACGCCCGGCCTGCCAGGCCACGCTGGGAAACGTAGTTCGCGCACCCCGCGCGGGCGCGGAGCCCAAGGGCGAGGGGACTACGGATCCCGGCAGCCCCCGCGCCGGGGACGGAGGGGGAGAGGCTGGGTGCAGGGATGGAGGGACGGGTGGGCGAGCGAGTGAGTGAGTGGCAGCCGCCAAGCCTTGGCCGAGAGCCAGGAAGGGCCTCCCCGGAGGAGGAGGAGGAGGGAGGCGCAGAGCGGGAGGGAGGGAGGGAACCCCAGGGGTCATCTAGTGACGGCGCCCCAATCGAAAATTTGACTTAAAAAAAATCTTTCAATTTTTTAATTTTTCCTGCGGCACACCAGGCAACATCTCGCGGCACACTAGTGTGCCGCGGAACAGTGGTTGGGAAACACTGATCTAGGTGACAGGAGATCAATATACCGTATTTTTCGCTCCATAACATGCATCTGACCATAAGACACACCTAGTTTTTAGAGCAGGAAAACAAGAAAAAAAATATTCTGAATCACACCTTGGGAAGCTTTCCTTCTCTCCACTTTTTTCTCCCCCTCCCCAAGCAGCACAGGCCCCTTTTCCAGCCTCCTCCTCTCCATCCCTTTCGCCCAAACTCCTCAGGTGATGCCTGCAATTTCTCCCCTTTGCTGCTGCCTCTCCTTTGCTCTCTACCATGACTCTCCACTCATGGCAACCTACCTCCTCTCCCTTCACCCAGCTTCTTAGTCCCCCTCTTCTCTGTCCTCTTCCTCCCCTCTCTTGGCAAGCAGCCTGCCCGCTGCTCCCAAACCTTCTCCCAAACCTGGCTACCAGCTTTGCCTCCCCAAACCACTTCAGATTGTCACACTGGTGTAGCCTTCTCAAGTGTAAACGCTCTTGCGCACTGCACCTCTGCTTTGCACTCGTGCCAACCTTTTGCACCCCTCTCCAATCTAATCAAAACCTGCCCCATTTTACCTGTAATTTGACAAGCCTGTGTCACTTTATACCACCCAAAACCTAAGGTATTAAAAAGTTACTCCAAGTTACTTTTGTAACGGGTTCTATGCTGCTCACCTGCGGAGAACCCAGCTGCAACGAAATGAACAGGATCACAGCTTAAAGCTGCCATGCTCTTCTTTTTCTCGGTTGTGGTAGTCCCCTGACTTTTCAGGCTGCTTAGCAACCCATGAGGGGGCCCTGATCCTCAATTGTATTTTTACAACAACACATAGGAGCCAACTTCTAGAGGCCGAGGTACCTTCGCACCCCTCTATAAAATATTTGAGAGGGCCAGCCCCCACCTTGATGGACATTGCCATTGAAATAGTGTGTGTGTGTGTCATACCATGTTTTTATATATATATAAAATATATATATATATTCAACAATCATTTAACATAATTTCATATCTTACACAATTTTTAGACTTACATCAATCACATCTGAAAATTTTCTAATCTTTTTCACTTAGTTTACATTTCTTAATTTCACTATTACTTTTAATTATATTAACTAACAACTCTCTTCGTAACCATCCTTGCAATATTTCATATTTTCCTCCTTACAAAACGTCTTGTAGTCCTACTAGCATAATTTGTTGATTACAATTGCTTTTCAAATATTTGTTTTCAAAAATTTGTTGGAAGCCGCCCAGAGTGGCTGGGGGGACCCAGCCAGATGGGAGGGGTATAAATAATAAATTATTATAATTATTATAATTATTAAATAGTTCACATATTTATTTCAGTTTTCCAAGAATCTCTGGTCCCGCAGGTTTCGAATCCTTCCTGTCATCTTGTCCAATTAATTTTGTCTGCCATTCTTCTTTCGTCGGTAATTCTTCCTGTTTCCATTTCTGGGCCAACAATACTCATATCATGTGATTGATTATGTGGAGTGGGGCTTACTGGGCCCCCAATATTTTATTTAGGTTGGCACCCCTGCAACAACATACACAGTGGGGTTTGTGGGTGGGGAAGCAATATGGTTGTTCTCCTGAAATAGAGAGAGCTCACAGCTGCTCTGTGATCAGCCTCCTCCCCATATGGGAATGAACAAAGGGGTGGAGAGCAGGCAGCTTCTGCCCCCATCTTCCCCTGCAGATGTTTGTAGTTGCTGAGGAGTCAAAGTCCAGCCCTCCTTTCCCCCCTCGCTTATCAGAAGGCACAGCTGAACCTGATCTTGCACCCAATCACCAAGCTCAGCACCTGGGATGAGCTTTCTAGCCTGAGCCCAGCCATTTCACTTCAGAAGCAAGCCCCAGTTGAGGTCAGGCTATTCTTGCCTTTGCACGTGGCATTTCAAAGGGCTACAGATTAGTTGGTGCAGAGCAGCCCTGGGTGAGTTTCCAGGGGCTTCTTTTGGGAAGAAGCTGAGCTGCCAGAAAAAGGAGAAAACAGGAACAAGAAGAGTTCAGGTAGGTGGGGCAGATATTTGAGAAGGAAGAGTAGAAGAGAAGGGCAGGGTGTGTGTCTGTGTGTGTGATGGTGTTTGTAGAAGGAAGGTGAGTAAATTTACAAATACCGTGGTACTTCGGGTTACAGATGTTTCAGGTTACAGACACTTCAGGGTACAGACTCCGCTAACCCAGAAATAGTACCTTGGGTTAAGAACTTTGCTTCAGGAGGAGAACAGAAATTGCGCGGCGGCAGCGGGAGGCCCCATTAGCTAAAGTGGTACCTCAGGTTAAGAACAGTTTCAGGTTAAGAACGGACCTCCGGAACGAATTAAGTTCTTAACCCGAGGTACCACTGTAAATGCCAGTGTTTCAGGAGCAGGGTGGCAAATCGGTTCGTTCCAAGCACTTTGTCTTGCCCACCTGTCTATATCCTATTCTTGTTTCCTTCTTAACCAACCTTTAAGCTACACTGTTATCCCTGACATATGGCATCTCTCATGAATGTAGAAGGTATGCTTGCTTAGTGTTCTGGGGGATAGGGAGATTTCCCTTTTCATTCTACTTCTGGTACAATTATTTATTGGGACGGATTCCCTCCACCCTGATCCTCACGGGTGATTTTTGCCTGGGCAATCTTCCAATAGGAATCAGTGGGGACCACACCACAATAAGTCTGGTGGATCTTTTGATCAATACATTCCCAAATTGCAATAATTTACTTACGCATTACTCCCTGAAGTTTTTTGCTTTGCTTTATTTTGTTTTGTGGTCTAAACCACAGAGCCTAGGACTTGCCGATCAGAAGATTGGCGGTTTGAATCCCCACGGCAGGGTGAGCTCCCGTTGCTCGGTCCCTGCTCCTGCCAACCTAACAGTTCAAAAGCACGTCAAAGTGCAAGTAGATAAATAGGTACCGCTCCGGCGGGAAGGTAAACGGCATTTCCGTGAGCTGCTCTGTTTTCGCCAGAAGTGGCTTAGTCATGCTGGCCACGACAAGGAAAAACTATCTGCGGAAAACTCCGGCTTCCTTGGCCAGTAAAGCAAATGAGCGCCACAACCTCAGAGTCGTACGCGACTGGACTTAACAGTCAGGGGTCCCTTTACTCTTTAGCTTTACCCTGAAGTTTTTTGTTTTTCTTAAACTCTTCCAATCCTAGGGGTAATATAAACCTACTTACTGTTCCTTCTCTTAAGTTAGCTGAACTAGAGGAGGGGGCGGGTGGAAGGGGAATTGCTTCCTTATATTTTATTTTACATCCATGCTTTATTATTAGGTGCCTTAAACCGCGGATGTAAATAGTTATACGTTTCTGCTATTCAGTTTTGTTGCAGCCCCATTGTAACTGCTTAATCCATTGTTTTGTACTTGTGTTTTATATATGAAGTGCTGTTTGTTCTGCATCAGGTTCTCACTGTTTCAAATGAATGCTTGTGATTTTTCTCCATTTGTCTAGTCACAGGTAAATTTTAAGTTGACTTTCATTTTGATATGGTTCTGGCTCTTTGCTTGCTCTCCCTGTGCTCACTGAACCAACCGAATATGGACTGAACTTGGAAGCTATTTTCAATAGTTATTTCTAATTTGCTCACTAGGAATTATCTCTTCCCATTTTGTTTACCATCTTGCCTGATGAAGAGTTTCCAAAACTTGCAGCCTGATAAAAGCACCCCCCTATTAGGGCTTTTGAGATTTTTCTTAGGCCCAACATGGCTTATATTTTAATGTTGTCTAGGGTTCCCTAAAAGGGATGCAAGTGGCGCTGTGGTCTAAACCACAGAGCCTAGGACTTGCTGATCAGAAGCTCGGCGGTTCGAATCCCTATGACAGGGTGAGCTCCCGTTGCTCGGTCCCTGCTCCTGCCAACCTAGCAGTTTGAAAGCACGTCAAAGTGCAAGTAGATAAATAGGTACCGCTCCGGCGGGAAGGTAAACGGCGTTTCCATGCGCTGCTCTGGTTCTCCAGAAGCGGCTTAGTCATGCTGGCCACATGACCAGGAAGCTGTATGCTGGCTCCCTCGGCCAATAAAGCGAGATGAGCACCGCAACCCCAGAGTCGGTCACGACTGGACCTAATGGTCAGGGGTCCCTTTACCTTTACCTTAGGGTTCCATATGCTGCTATTATTATTATCATTTTGCTATCACATTTGGAATTTCAGAGAACAGTCCATTTCAACTTGCAGCACTAACCCATTTTTAGTATTAAATTAAGTAAATTTCTGCCCACACAATAAAGGTTTATCTACACATTTCTTTCAATGGGAGGGAACTGCCCGTCCAGTGTTGCGAAATGAGAAAAGGGAAACTGAAGCCTTTGTTACCATTTCAGGGAGACACAATGGCAGAAGGCAACCCAGTCCAGAACCTCTGCGAGGAAACAACATGCCCCATCTGCCTGGAGTACTTCAAAGACCCAGTGATCGTAGACTGCGGCCACAATTTCTGCCAAGCATGCATCACTCGGGCCTGGGGGGAACCTGACAGAGATGCTTCTTGCCCCCAGTGCAGGGAACCTTGTCAGCAAAGGAATGTCAGGCCCAACCAGCAACTGGCAAGCATTGTGGAAATAGCCAAGAAATTCAGCCTTCAGATGGCCAGAGGGGCTGAAGCGCTGGGAAGGTTTTGTGAGAGACACCAGGAGCCCCTGAAGCTCTTCTGTGAAGACGACCGAGCCCCCATCTGTGTGGTGTGTGACAAATCCAAGGAGCACAGGGACCACAAGGTGATCCCAAAGGAGGAGGCCTTTGAAGCGTATCAGGTAGGAGCAGCGGCGTAGCGTGGGTTATCAGCACCCGGGGCAAGGCAAGTAATTTGCGCCCCCTAACCCGGGGCAAGGCAAGTAATTTGCGCCCCCTAACCCGGGGCAAGGCAAGTACAGTAATTTACTCTCCCAAGCAGCAGCAGCGAGGCTTCTCTTCCCCCCGCGCTCTCCTGGAGCTGCCTCTTTTCTTTCATTTTTTCCCTTTCTCCAAGGCTTTTCGCTTTCTCTCCTAAATTGATTCCTCCTCCACACCGTGGCGTTTCCTGGCTGCTCCCCCCTCCCCCCTCTCTCCTCCTCGCTCTGCTTGCCTTTCCCTGCCCTGCCTGAGGGCGCCCTGAGGAGACTCCGCTCTCCTTTTTGACCAGGCGAGGTGGAAAAAAGGGGGGAAAGTCTCTTCCCGCCCCCTCGCCAGACTCCCTGCTCGGCTCGGCTCACTACCCAGGCGGCCAGTGGAGAGAGTCTTGAGCCGCTTAATTCCCAGCAAGGAATTAGCAGGCTCGCTCCACCTCCTCCTCCTCCCGACTTTGCTGCTGCTGCACGGCTTTTTTCCTCTACCGACGGCACGCTGTGCCTTGGAGAGGTTCCCGCTTCCTCGAGGGGGGCCGGCCAAACGCGCCCCCCAAAATGTTGCGCCCGGTGCGGCCGGCACCCCTGGCACCCCCCACGCTACGCCAGTGGGTAGGAGATGGAAGGTGGGAGGGCATGAGGAACGGGGGACCCATCCATCTGCTTCCGCTAAGTGTCTTGACCCTCGTTGAGCATCCCAAGCAAATGCTGTAAGGACATAAGGAGAGTCCTGCCGAATGGAGCCAAGGGGCCATCTAATTCTGCATCCTGTTCTTACACTGGTCCACCAGATAGATGCTTATGAGAAGCCCTGGAGCAGGAAGCTGAGTGGAACCGCAATCTGCCCTCCTTCAGTTTCCAGCCACTGTTAGTGGAATCGTGCTGCCTCCAACCACAGGCTCATGCTATGTGCTCAATATTGTGAACCCTTTCAGTGGCGTACAAAGGGGGGCGGAGGGGGCGGGCCACCCAGGGTGCCACCCGGAGGGGGTGTGTGTGACAAGATGGACCGCTGCCTCCCCCCAGCTGTGGAGCGGCGAAGAGCAAGCGCACAGTCAGTATGGGCTCTGCTCGTGTGGGGTCCGTACAGGCATCTGATCGGGCTGCCGCTCGCACACGGCGTCTGTACGGGCTTCCGTATGGCTGCCGCTTGCACACCGTCCAATCAGGCTGCCGCACGGTTCGCCCCGGGTGACGGAGAGGGTTTCTCCGCCACTGAACACCTGTGGAAAGTTTGAAGGAGGGGTGCAATGTGCAACCTTCACAGCCTTCTCCTTTCCCCATCCCAAGGCCCGAAAGAGCAACCACAGCAGCTTTATTTATTTTTTAAAAAATATAAACTGCTTAAAGGGTTTGTTTTGTTTTCTGCAATTGGCACGTTCCTATTTTCACCAGAGAAATGTTGGAGGGCACGTCTCTGTTTTCACTGGGGAAATGTTGGAGGGTAGGGAATAGGATGTCCCTATTTTCATTGCAGAAATGTTGGAGGATATGAATTAGGTGGTATATAAATTTCATGAAATAAGTACTGTATTTTTCGCTCCATAGGATGCACTTTCCCCCTCCTATAAAGTAAGGGGAAATGTGAGTGCGTCTTATGGAGTGAATGGCACTGCGCAGAGAGGTAGAGCTGCGCAGCGCCCCTTCAGCGAAGTGGGAGGAGGAATGGAGCCCCTTCTGTTCCTGCTCCCGCTTCGCTGAAGGGGCTCTGTGTAGCTCTCCCTCTCTGCACAGCGCCATTCACTCCATAATATTTTTTTCCTTGTTTTCCTCTCCCCCAAACTGGGTGCGTCTTATCATCTGGTGCGTCCTATAGAGCAAAAAGTACAGTGGTACCTCGCAAGACGAATGCCTCGCAAGACAAAAAACTCGCTAGACGAAAGGGTTTTTTGTTTTTTGAGCTGCTTTGCAAGACGATTTTCCCTATGGGCTTGCTTTGCAAGACGGAAACGTCTTGCAAGTTTGTTTCCTTTTTCTTAACACCGTTAATACAGTTGCGACTTGACTTCGAGGAGCAACTCATAGAACGCGGTGTGGTAGCCTTTTTTGAGGTTTTTAAAGACTTTGGTGATTTTTGAAGCTTTTCCAAAACTTTCCCGACACCGTGCTTCGCAAGACGAAAACAATCGCAAGACGACAAAACTCGCGGAACGAATTAATTTCGTCTTGCGAGGCACCACTGTACAGTAAATTGGGGGTCGCGGCATCTTGCAAGGATATTTGTTTTGCACATGCCCCCTCACGAATGCTTGTGATTTTTTTTTTTTTAAAGGCACCTTGCTTCCTACTTGCCAGGCTCTTTGTAAACACATTGCTTAAAAATTCTCTGTTCTGTGCCCTGTAGCATAAGGGGGGGTGTACCTTAATACAGTGGTACCTTGGCTGTCAAACTTAATCAGTTCCAGAAGTCCGTTCAACTCCCGGAACCATTCGAAAACCAAGGTGCAGTTCCCGATCAGCCGCAGGAGCTCCCTGCACTCAATTGGAAGCCGCGCCAGACTAAGCCTCCCTGTGTGGCCCCTTGGGACCCTCCTCAGCCAAACCCCCACTCCCTAGTCCATATCTCTCACTAGCTGCTTGGCACCCTCTGTGAATGGTTTTGCCAGAGGGAAATGGGTCCTTGTCCCCTGAGGGCTGTGTGCTTTTCTAGGTGCCCCATGCTGGGGGGTGGGAGGGCCAAAAGCAAGAGTGGGTAGGGTAGCAAGCATTTTACCTCTGTGTAGCACTCTAGTTTCTGCACACCCCCTCACAATCCTCCATCCAGGCAGGCAATGCATATTATTATCAAGAGTTCAAGGACGCATTCTAGCCAGGCAAAATACTGTATTTTTCGCTCTATAAGATGCACCAGACCATAAGACGCATCTAGTTTTTGGAGGAGGGAAACAAGAAAAAAAATATTCTGAATCCCAGAAGCCAGAACAGCAAGAGGGATCCGGTTTCTGGGATAGCCTCTTGCTGTCCTGGCTTATGGGATAGCCGCGTGAGCCTCTCCCGGGCAGAGCCACAAGGAGCACGTGTGCGGCTCTTGGGGGCTTTTCCCCGAGGAGGGAGAAGGGCAGCCCACACATGCTCCATGTGGCTCTTTAAAGGGAGTGCTGAGCCGAGCCTCCCACCTGCATTCGCTCCATAAGACGCACACACATTTCCCCTTACTTTTTAGGAGGGGAAAAGTGCGTCTTATAGAGTGAAAAATACTGTAATATAGAAGCATAGCATGAACAGTGGGGTGGTGGTGGTGCTTGGGTAGGGGGGTGGGGGGTGGCCTGGGGCCTAGAGAGAGTCCTGAGGATCAGACAGAGAGGTCTTCAGCCACTGGTCCTGAGGTTCCCCACCAATGTCCCCGACTCTCCTCTGTCTTTGTGTGGTGTGTTGTAGTGGTTAAGAGCGGTAGTCTCGTAATCTGGTGAACTGAGTTCGCTTCCCCGCTCCTCCACATGCAGCTGCTGGGTGACCTTGGGCCAGTCACACTTCCTTGAAGTCTCTCAGCCCCACTCACCTCACAGAGTGTTTGTTGTGGGGGAAGAAGGGAAAGGAGAATGTGAGCCGCTTTGAGACTCCTTCGGGTAGTGATAAGGCGGGATAACAAATCCAAACTCTTCTTCTTCTTCTTCTACTTAAGAGCCTTGAACTGACATTGCATATACTTTTTTTAAAAAAAGATCTCTGTCCCAACAATGAACTCAGATGCCTCCTTATTTCAGGGTAAAATCCAGGGTCATTTGGAATTCCTGAACAAACAGAAAAAGGAAATTCTGGCTTCTAAACTGAGTGGGGAGGCTGAAAGCCAGAAGCTGCTGGTAGGTACTCAACCACAGAGCTCCTTGCATCTCCTGTATGTTTATACTTCCAGGGTGAGGCCTTAGTTCTGAGCACTGACAGTTCTGAGCACTCTAGAAAAAAGAGGTGCCAGAACTCACCACAAACGCCTCCCTTGTTCTCCTGTAATGGCAATGGTGCCCACCTGAGAGGTGCCGGAACTGAGTTCTGGTGAGTTCTGGATTAAAAAAAAGCCCTGGATATATTTATTAGATGTTACCCTTCCTTCCTCACATTTGTGGTTTCAGTAGAGTGCATCATTTTGCAGCTTAGAAGGGAAGCTTAGATAGGCTCCTTTTACTTTAAGTAATCCAGAATGCTTTAAGACAGGCTGGATTTTCCTGCTGTTTCCCCCCTTTTAAAACCTTAAAATAACAACGTCTCATAAAAAGTACAAATAACATTTACACACTCGGAATACTTGCTGAAGAGTAACAGGTCCAGCAGGTTTGTCAGGCAGGCTTAAAATGGTAATTCAGTTACAAAGACGTACTTAAGTCTAGCTTAAAAATGGAGCCTGAGCATGGAGCTCAGACTTAGCAGATACTCTCATGCTGCTGGCATGGTGACGAAGAGCAGAAAGCAAAAGTGTACCCAGGCAGGCAGTGGGAGTGTCTCTCGCAGAGTCTTCTCTAGCAAACTCACAGGAAAACTCTGAGCTTCAGCTCCTATCATGTGCCTAGCTAGGAAAACATGAATTGTTGGATTTGACTATATCTTAAATATCCCACATGGAGGTGGAGCCTGTGCCTCACTTACACGTTGTCCTGGGTTTAGTCCCACATTTGAATGCCTGATCTACCCGACCCACAACAATTTTTTTCTGCCCATCCAAGTTGCTTGGGCAGCGAGAAGAGAAAAAATAGAAATAGGAAAAGCATAGCCCAGCAGGTAGGGGAAAGGTAAAGGACCCCTGGATGGTTAGGTCCAGTCAAAGGCGCCTATGGGGTTGCGGTGCTCATCTTGCTTTCAGGCCAAGGGAGCTGGCGTCCGTCTACAGACAGCTTTCTGGGTCATGTGGCCAGCAGGACTAAACCGCTTCTGGCTCAACCAAACACTGTGACGGAAACCAGAGCGACACACAGAAATGCCGTTTACCTTCCTGTCAGAGTGGTACCTATTTATCTACTTGCACTGGTGTGCTTTTGAACTCCTAGGTTGGCAGGAGCTGGGACAGGGCAACAGGAGCTCACCCCATTGCAGGGATTCAAACCGCCAACCTTCTGATCAGCAAGCCCAAGAGGCTCAGGGGTTTAGACCACAACACTACTCATGTCACTATAGCCCAGCACCCTGATGGTGATATAATGGCTTCCCTGGCCATCGGGTTGATCACTGGATGCGTGTAGAAAAGGCAAAAACCTTAGCTGATTGACAGGAATCAGCTGGCAGGAGGCTATGTGACTTTGAGAGAGGAGGGTGGCCACATTCACATTTGACCACACCCACTTCTGGCATGCAAACTTTGGAAGCTAAGCCAAGGAGGAATGCTGCCCCTGAGCGAAAAAAATAGGCCAGCTCTCGGTTAATCCTTTAAAAAGAACTGAACGCAGCAAAGCCACCCCTTCTTCTTCTTCCCACTTGAGCCAGGCTCCACTATCAGAAAGAAAGAAGTCGCATCTAACATTATTATGGGTGTGCAACAGAGCCATGCAGTCTGCCCTGATTCCCTTAAGGTAGTCTGCCTGCTCTCTTCAATTGGGGAAGATGTGCTGTCCAGTTGCCAGTGCTGAAGTGAGCTGCCGCCCCAGTCAGTTTGTGAACTCGGGGAAGCACCTAAATACCGTATTTTTTGCACCATAACACTCACTTTTTTCCTCCTAGAAAGTAAGGGGAAATGTCTGTGCGTGTTATGGAGCGAATGCCTGCAGGTGGCGGGGGGGATCTGCTGCAGTCGTGAGCAGAGGATCCATGGTTCCCCTTCGTTCCCTCCTCCGTGGTTACAAAGCATGGATCTACATGGATCCTCAGGATTTTTGCATTGGGCTACTCCAAAATCACTGTCAGATCACATGTCTGTGGCCACAGCATGAACCACAAAAATCATATATCCACTATTTCATTTAGAATTTTTTTTTCTTGTTTTCCTCCTCTAAAAACTACGTGCGTGTTATGGTCTGGTGCGTGTTATAGAGCGAAAAATACGGTATATTTGACTGGCTCTGACTTTCTCATTACAGAAGCGGACGGAATCGGAGAGGCAGAAAATCATGGCCGATTTCAAGCAATTACACCAGTTTCAGGAAGAACAAGAGCGCCTCCTTCTGGCTCAACTGAAGGAACTGGACGATGGGATTAAATCCTGTGGGGACCAACATATTGCAAAACTCTCTGAGGAAATGACCTCTATTGATGACCTTATTAAGGAGCTAGAGGAGAAGCAGAAACAGCCAGCGACTGAATTCTTGCAGGTAAGAGTTGGCACAATTAAATATTTCAGGTTGTCCTGCAGGGAATGGTTGTACCCACAATCACTCTGTCTGTTGCTTTATAGAAGTATTCATAGTAGGGATGTGCACTGGCCACACATTTTGTTCAAAACTGTGATTTGGAGCTTCAACAAACGAGTCGTGATTCAGGTTGACCAATCTGAAGGCTTCCCTGTTCTGCTTCCGCGTCCTGGTCTCCTTCATTCCCCAGCTTCAATACTTGGTAATTTTAAAACATCTATTACTCCCCATCCTCTCTTTTGATAGAAGTGGATAGAAGCTGCTCCTGCAGTATGGATGAAGCTTGCCAAATTACAATGGATCCAGGGAGTTTTTGTGCCAGCATTGGCAATGGGACCAGCAACACCAGCTAGTTGAGTTCTCCCTCTACCCAATTCAAACATCTCCTCACTGTTGTGTGTAGAGCAATATACATTGTGAGCAGTAGCAGGTAGACATCTGCTCTCAGGCTGGCGGCACCAGTGGTGGGAGCCAGCAGCAGAGCATAGCCCAGGTGATCACTTGGAGTTGGCAGAAGAAGAAGGAGGAGGAGGAGGAGGAGGAGTTTGGATTTGATATCCCGCTTTATCACTACCCAAAGGAGTCTCAAAGCGGCTAACATTCTCCTTTCCCTTCCTCCCCCACAACAAACACTCTGTGAGGTGAGTGGGGCTGAGAGACTTCAGAGAAGTGTGACTAGCCCAAGGTCACCCAGCAGCTGCATGTGGAGGAGCGGAGACGCGAACCCGGTTCCCCAGATTACGAGTCTATCGCTCTTAACCACTACACCATACTGGCTCTCCCAGGTGTGCCATCTGCCTGCATTTCAGGAAGAAGCATAACTGGGGGAGGTTCTGGGGCAGAGAGCTCCCCTCTCAGTCTCAAGCTGGGGTTGCCATACGTTCGGGAAATCCCGGACATGTCCGCTTTTTGGGTGGCCTACATGCCCATCGGGGGTTTTTTTCCCCTCCAAATTTAGAAGCATATGTCTGGGTTTTTGTAGTTTTTTAAAATTTGTGTTTGTGTGATGGTGGCTCGGGTTCAGTGGGCAATTGTCCCCCCAAAAGCTCAGTTAATGTCTGGATTCTTGCAATATGGCAACCCTATCTCCATCTTCCACCCCCTCTGTCTTAAATAAGCAGAAGAATCTGCAGCTTAGTGAGGAGACAATAGAGGATATGGGATTGGGGAAGTATAGGACCATGAGATAGGAAGTTTCCATCTGTCCGATATGTAGGAGGAGACTGGTGCAAGAGGCTGGATTAATAATATTCTGTCTCTTCCCTTCCAGGATATCAGAAGCATCCTGCAAAAGTACGTGGCTTTGTTACGCACAGTGGGCTGATACGAATCTCCTGTCTCTCCGAAGAGAGTTTAGATTGCTTCACTTAAAACCATGTGCCAATCTAATTCACGGATCACAGACAAATATGCCAATCAGAATACAGTGATTCATTGGATTGCAGATTTTCTGAAATTTTGTGATGTAGCTTTGATGTAAAGCTTTGATGTATTGGGGAAGGGAGGATGCACATAAAATGTTTATTTTAATAATAAATAATAATAAATTTTTATTTATCCCCCCTCCCTTTTCTTGGTTCAGAAAACTGGGCTCAGGGCGGCTAAAACAAATTTAAAACACTTAATTGTGATATAACAAAAAAAGCATAAAATACAATATAAAAGCGTGAATAACAATAAATTCAAAGTTCTAAAATCAATTTGTGGAAAGATCCATCCAATAAACATTAGATGATCACCCAGGCTAGCTGGCTAAATTAGTCCTATTTGGGTCAGCAAGGAGGCCAGGGGAGAATTAGCTGTGGGATCCCAGAGCGGGTAATCTTCATAAAAAGGGGAGGGAAGGAAGGAGAATAAAGTATCAGGCTAAATTCAAATTGAAAGCCAGACAGAATAGCTGTCTTACAGGCCCTGCGGAAGGAGGTTAGGGGAATAAGTGATGGTGTTCCTTCACCTACTGTAAACTTGATTTCAGAGCAGATTATGATGGTGATTTGTTAGATTTCTTACTTGCCCTTCACTTCCTGGGCAGGCTACAACAATCTCAAAATATGATATTAACCCTAATACAGTGGCACCTCAGGTTCCATATGCTTCAGGTTCCATACGCTTTGGGTTACAGACTCCGCTAACCCAGAAATATTGCTTCAGGTTAAGAACTTTGCTTCAGGATGAGAACAGAAATTGTGCTCCGGAGGCACGGCACAGCAGGAGGCCCCATTAGTGGTGCTTCAGGTTAAGAACAGTTTCAGGTTAAGTATGGACCTCCAGAACGAATTAAGTACTTAACCCGAGGTACCACTGTATACATATCTCAGGTGTCAAATGCCAAGGTAAAATGACACTGTTATTAGATCCAATGCACATTCTGTGCTTGGGGAAAATATTCAGCATTCTAAAAATCAATTTCCCTTAGGTTTTAGGCATTTCTGACCTAGCTATAATTTTAAACAGGGTATGCTAACCAATGTCTACATCTAAAATTTAGGCAGGTTGTTTGAAAATATTGTTTTATATTGACAATAAGGTTGAAAAAAATGAGTTAAGATCTAAAATTACATTTTAATGTAATTATTTTATACTTCTCATTTTTCAAACATTTTACATTGTTTTTAACTCTACATTTAACAGTATAGGGACACGGGTGGCGCTGTGGGTAAAACCTCAGTGCCTAGGACTTGCCGATCGCATGGTCGGCGGTTCGAATCCCCGCGGCGGGGTGAGCCCCCATCGTTCGGTCCCAGCTCCTGCCAACCTAGCAGTTCGAAAGCACCCTTAAGTGCAAGTACAGTGGTGCCTCGCAAGACGAAATTAATTCGTTCCGCAATTCTCTTCGTCTTGCGAGTTTTTCGTCTTGCGATGCACGGTTTCCCATAGGAATGCATTGAAAATCAATTAATGCGTTCCTAGGGAAACCGCCTTCAGACCAGGTCCGGGGACAGTCTGTCCCCCGACCTCTTCTGAAGGCTGGGGGGGGGGGGACAAGGGCTTTTTTCCCACTGCCAGCCTTCAGAAGGCTGTTCTGAAGGCTGGCGGTGGGAAGAAAAGCCCTTCTTCCCACCTCCCGCCCTGCAAGCTCCGGGGACAGGAGGGCTTTGCTGCCGACCGCCAGCATTTTAAAAGCCCCTGCTGTCCCGGGGCGATTTTAAAATGCTGGCGGGCGGGAGCGAAGTCTCCGCTGCCCCGGGGAGATTTTAAAGTGCTGGGGGTCGGCAGCGAACGCTTCGCTCCCGCCCGCCAGCATTTTAAGATCGCCCGGGGCAGCAGAGAAGTCTCCGCTGTCCCGGGAAGGCAGGCGGGGGGAGCAAAGACTTTTGCCACCGCCTGCCTTCAGAAGAGGTCCAGGACCTCGTTCCGATGCCCGGCGGCAGGGTGCGAGGTTCCCGCCCCACCGCCCGGCATCGGGGCATCGTTCCGATGCCCGGCGGCGGGGGGAGAGGTTCCCGCCCCACAGCCCCGCTTCGGAGCAGCGTTCCGAAGCGGGGCGGCTGGGGCAGGTGTTCCCTGGACCTCTTTTGATGCAAGCGGCTGCGGAGAGAAGCGATCTCCCCGCAGCCGCTTGCTTCAAAAGGGGTCTGGGACCTCTTTTGAAGGAAGCGGCTGCGGAGAAAAGCGATCTCCCCGCAGCCGCTTGCTTCAAAAGGGGTCCGGGACCTCTTTTGAAGCAAGCGGCTGCGGAGAAAAGCGATCTCCCCACAGCCGCTTGCTTCAAAAGAGGTCCGGGACCTCTTTTGAAGCAAGCGGCTGCGTAGAGAAGCGATCTCCCCGCAGCCGCTTCCTTCAAAAGGGGTCCGGGACCTCTTTTGAAGCAAGCGGCTGCGGAGAAAAGCGATCTCCCCGCAGCCGCTTGCTTCAAAAGGGGTCCGGGACCTCTTTTGAAGCAAGCGGCTGCGGAGAGAAGCGCAGCCGCTTGCTTCAAAAGAGGTCCGGGGGCAGCGGGAAGCGCTTCCCGCTGCCCCCGGACCTCTTTTGAAGCAAGGGGCGGTGGGGAGAAGCGATCTCCCCGCCGCCCCTTGCTTCAAAAGAGAAGACCCGCTGTCCCCGGGGCAAGCTTCGTTTTGCGAAGCAAGCCCATAGGGAAATTCGTCTTGCGAGGCAACTCGAAAACGAAAAAACCTTTCGTTTTGCGAGTTTTTCGTCTCGCGAGGCGTTCGTCTTGCGGGGTACCACTGTAGATAAATAGGTCCCGCTTTATAGCGGGAAGGTAAACGGCGTTTCCGTGCGCTGCGCTGGTGCTGGCTCACTAGAGCAGCTTCGTCACGCTGGCCACATGACCCGGAAGTGTCTCCGGGACAGCGCTGGCTCCCGGCCTCTTAAGTGAGATGAGCGCACAACCCTAGAGTCTGTCAAGACTGGCCTGTACGGGCAGGGGTACCTTTTACCTTTACTTAATAGTATACTTAACGTATTATTGTGTTGTATCTGCTCTGGTTTCTTATCTTCTCTACTGGTTATTGACCAAAATATATATACATAATTTTATCTCATCTGCAAATTTTATATGAAAAGTATATGTAAGCTAACTCTTTATTCTTCTCCTTTATTCTTCTTATATTTCATGATAGAAATTTTTCCAGTGTATAATAGGTGTTTGTAAATTGGGCAGATAATTCTGCTGCCTGCCTCCTTTCTCTCTCTCTCTCTCTCTCTCTCTCTCTCTCTCTCTCTCTCTCTCTGCATTTGTGCTGTTCCTGCTTTTCTTATTCATCCCAATTGCTGATACGAGACTTGAGAACCAAGAGATGAATTGCAAATAAAATTTGTTTGCTTCTTCCTAGGTGCCATGAAAATAAAGCTGTGGATCCAATAGCCTTTCCTCCCGGATTTAAAAAGCGAATTGAGAAAATCTCTAAAATGCATCCTTTTCTGGAGACCACCATGGAGGAATTCAAAGGTAACGAAGGGTCATTGCGTTAACTTTTGGAAAGTGGGTTTGAAAATACAGTGGTACCTCAGGTTAAGTACTTAATTCGTTCCAGAGGTCTGTTCTTAACCTGAAACTGTTCTTAACCTGAGGTACCACTTTAGCTAATGGGGCCTCCTGCTGCCACTGCACGATTTCTGTTCTCATCCTGAAGCAAAGTTCTTAACCCGAGGTACTATTTCTGGGTTAGCGGAGCTGTAACCTGAAGCGTATGTAACCTGAAGCATATGTAACCCGAGGTACCACTGTATAGCTCATCTGATCCTGTTGTGAGTCTCACTGTGGGTGGGAATTGACTGCTTGAAGGAAAAATTGGTGCGTGGAATTTAAGATTTCCACATTTAGAATTTCCCATTAGATACTCGAAATCTCAGCATTTGAGGGATCTGCGTACAGGACCTTTTCTTCCTTTAAAAATCTGAGCAAACCATTTGTATTTGGCAATGGTTTCAGATCTACCTTGCTTTTCTTCATAACACTTAACGGTAATGATGCAAGAGGGCCAAAGGTTGGATACGTTGGCTAAAGGTTAGCTCCCCCCCCCCCCACAATCACAGTTTCAGGCACTGTCAAGTACTGGAGTCAAGTATTAGCAGTAACTCGTTTCTCATAACGCTTTTTCTTCCTTAGACATTGTGCTCTCTGGGCCGCAAGAAAAGAAACGTACATTTCCAGGTTTGGCAGATCTTTAAACAATTTTTGCAGCTGAGATAATAATAATAATAATAATAATAATAATAATAATAATAATAATAATAAATAATAATAAATAATAATAATAAATAATAATAAATAATAATAAATAAAAAAATAATTTATTTATACCCCGCCCACCCTGCTGGGTTTCTCCAGCCACTCTGGGCGGCTTCCAACAGAATATTAAAATACAATAACCTACTAAACATTAAAAGCTTCCCTAAACAGGGCTGCCTTCAGATGCCTTCTAAAAATCTGGTAGTTGTTTTTCTCTTTGACATCTGGTGGGAGGGCGTTTCACAGGGCGGGTGCCACTACCGAGAAGGCCCTCTGCCTGGTTCCCTGTAACCTCACTTCTCGCAGTGAGGGAACTGCCAGAAGGCCCTTGGCGCTGGACCTCAGTGTCCGGGCAGAACGATGGGGGTAGAGACGCTTCAGGTATACTGGACCGAGGCCCATATGGGAGGGTTTTTGCACTGAAGAGAAAACTTTCAGCTGTGTTTTGGTGTCAGGAAACAAAAATCTGTCTCTGCGTGTCTTTCATGCTTCCCTCACCATTCCATCCGTGCATGTGCACAGACTGATGTCTCGAGCAGATAATCTGTGACGCCTAATGACAGGAAGTCAAGAGCTGCCTTTATACAGTCATTTCACCCATCTAGCTTAGTGACTGGCACCAGCTCTCCAGGGATTTATACAGGGGT